GCTCTTGCATCCTTGCATCCGTGACAAACCGGATAGGTTTGATGTCTGCACTCTGCTGGCAATCTGCTGGAAAGACCCATGGGAGTGTCATTTGTTTCTTGTGGACTCTGAATTAGGCTACCATAGGGAACCCAGGGCACGTAAAAGCAAGCGGCATGCCCTCTTCAGGTACCTCACACGAATAATGCGTCTTTCCTTCGTTTGGCAGTTCTTCGGCGCCGTCTGCATTGCCGTCTTGTCTTTGCCTGCCAGTGCAGATGATAGTAGATGCCCCGATACTTACGACCCACCTTTTGTAGTGGATTTGAATGTTCAATGACACCCACTAACAGTGAGCATGAGTAGATTTCTGCGCAGAATTGACCTACTGACCTGCTTTGTAGGCCCGGGACCAACCTTTATATGTGTGTGAACCAGCAGAGTAGGATGCATTTGACCATGCTGACTGTCCTGGTATTTACAGAGAATGAGGCAATCTTGAGCAGCGCAAGTTGGAAGAACGAGTACCGCGAGTCGTCGAATACGGAGAGTTTGCTAGTAGTACGAAGCAAAGGTGAGAAATGTCCCAAAATTAGAACACCTGCCAAGACTTGATATCAGCATCAAACGGAATCCACAAGTTGCTTCCACTTGGCCGTCCGCGTCGAAAGTTTGTTTGACAGTTCGGATATCAACAAAATTCGAGTGTTGATGCGGCAGTGAAAATATTATTTTCGAGCAGTCGACCGTAGTACCCGCACCTAGTGTTGGTCCTTCTGAACTTTGAATAATTAAATAGTAGACCTCACAAGCGGAGCTATAGCACTTATTATACACTCCTAAGCCTCGGGACTGCAAGTGTTTACGTTACCGTTCAGCCCATTACACCGGTGACCAGGGTCTCACAACCCTACAGGTACAAACCAAAAAATTACGTGCGACTGACGACAGAACTTTCTTAGACCTGGCAGTGAACACCTGACAAAAAGGGCCGCCGCCGCTAACTCGCTAGGAGGACATTGAGGAGTACCTGTTTAAATGTCTCAGAAAAGGGTATTACAACAGCGAGCGAAACGGTACAGCCGCGAGCGCCGATACCGGACTCGGAGTAATACGACGAACCAGTGACCGCTCACTGGCACATCTGTCAAATTGAACCCTGAAGGAGTTTTAGCCGACTTGGACATTACGTCTCTTTAACGGCGCGATCGCTGCAGACGAGTTGTCGGCTGGTCTTTAGCGCTTGGCGCAGGTGCTTGTTGATCCGAAAGACCATCTCGGCAATTATGGAGCTGTCAACAGATGATGGATAGGTGCATGATCCGTAATATTATATTGTAAGGTGTAAGTTTGGACGCAGCGCTGACGAACGCGCGCAGGGGAGTGACCCTTTCCCGAGTCGTGTCTGGTTCTGACTATACATCAGAATACTCTGGTGCAAGGACGCGTGGGCTACCTTCGCCATGTAGTAGTCCACCGCATTCCTTGGGCCATCTGTCTCGTGCGTAACATTCATTTGTTAATCTTACTACACTGCTCATAGAATGATTGAATCAATCTAGCCCGGCTCGGCCTGAAGCCGGGTCGTGCACTTGTTTCTCCTTGACTTTGGTCCAAGGAAATAAATACACCTCCATGTGAGCAGACATACTAGGTCTGTAATCGTACAAGTTGTGCGACCCACGTACTTAACCGAAAAGCTGATCATCCAGATGATGATGACTGTTATAGTCCGGCCGATCACAACGACTCGACACCACCATTTCTCGTGGCACAGTCGCTTAGACTTTCGCTTCTGGCGGCCGCCTAAGTTCACCAGGAATATCCCAATCTTTAATTATGATTTGGCGTCGGTTTCAACTTAAGCTTGACAGGAATACCTTTTTGAACAAGACAAGCGAGTGTCGTCACGGTGATGAGTCTGAACTAGATCGTTTAAATAAGATTGCCGCGGCGCGGCATGTATCGGATGTAGCAAATGGGCGGCACCACGTACCTATGTACTTATAGTTCCGAAGTGGAATTAATTCATGTCGTTATTTTGTTCTTTGCCAATTGCAACAGAATTGTCAGACGAAATCAGTGTAAGCCTCGTCGACTATCTATCTTCCAGATATTCTCTTTCACTTTTGATACTCGAACCAGATATGATTTTGCTTTTGCTGAGACCATGAAACAACTTGAAGAGTTTCGAAGCAAGACAACCTCTGGTAGCGTGAGTGGCTGTTGTTCATTGTCTCGGATCAGCTAGTAATATTTGACAGGCTATAGAAATTCGAGTTTCACAAGTAGCTTTGTCTTCCACGAGTTTGAGTTACACTTTACACACGACAACATGTCATCTATTGATCTTCGCTGCCTGATCAAATCAAGTCACACCGGACCTTCATAATGCCATGTCTCAACGGTACTACATAATCTGCAGGAGAAAATCCTCCTGGTAACGAGTGCGATCACCTTCCTTCTGTTCTTCTTGATCACACCTTCTGCTGCTAGCCTTGCTGGTGATGCGGCGGCAATTCAATATGTTTATCAAGAATGTGACGCAGGGTTTTCCGACCATCACTGGCATACGATGGTTCAACCTTTCTGTTCTTGTCATCACACCAGCTCTTTCGTTGTACGGCTTGCTTTATGTTCCCATCCTTTGGAAGACTGTCGTTTGCACTACCCTCTATTACATTTATTCCATGCTTGGTAAGTGCTCTACGAAGACTGATTGCTTCTTCCGACTGCTGATCCTGCTCCATCAGGTATAACTGCTGGTGAGTGGTGGTGATAACTTTCATGGGATATCATTAGAACGTGTGTCGCTCCAGGGTACCATCGGCTTTGGTCACACAGGTCATATAACGCTTCGTTCCCCTTGCAGGTATTTCTTATCCTTGCAGGGGCGAGCGCAGTGCAAGGCTCATGCTATTGGTGGGCACGCCGGCACCGTTCTCATCACAGGCATACAGACACGGACCTTGATCCGTACAACTCAGAACGAGGCCTCCTCTGGACGCACATAGGATGGATTATTTTCAAGTCAGATTTGAAGCCCGGGCCAGCTGATATCTCTGACTTGAGCAAGGACCCTCTCGTACAATGGCAACACAGATGGTACTTTGTCATCCTGACTATTTTCGGGTACTTGCTTCCAATGGTCATCCCCGGCTTGTGGTGGGGAGACTGGAAAGGTGGATTTTTTTTCGTTGGTGCATTTCGTATGACTGCGTGTCATCATGTAAGTTCCGCGTTGTACATTCAAACAAAACTCAACTAGAACCCAGTGCACTTTTTGCATCAACTCCATTGCCCACTATCTCGGAACCACGCCGTACGATGACAAACATACTCCCCGCGATCATCTTTTGTCCGCTGTTCTTACTATGGGAGAAGGGTACCATAATTTTCACCATCAATTTCCCATGGACTACAGGTAGCAGTTGACATTCATTGCGCTGTTCAACGTCATTTACACAACTTGTGGCCTTTTTTTCCACCAGGAATGCATTCCGATGGTATCAATATGACCCTACCAAGTGGTTCATCAGTGTCTGTCACTATATCGGTCTTGCCTCCCATCTCCGCGTTTTCCCTAGTAACGAAATTGAAAAGGGCGCACTCACGATGAAGATCAAAGCTCTCAAGGACGTCCAGGACTCAATTGAATGGCCCGTACCTCCGCAAGAACTTCCTGTGGTTTCGTGGAAAACCTGTGAGTGACTCCGTGTTGGCACGCGCTCGATTGTTGCTAACCAATCTGCATCGCTTTGTAAATAGTCCAGGAAGAATCCCAGTCTCGGACCCTTCTCCTCATCTCAGGTTTTATCCACGACGTGTCAATGTTCCTTGATAACCATCCGGGAGGACCCGTTTTACTCACACGAAACTCTGGGAAAGACATGACAGCGTCATTCTTCGGCGGCGTCTATGCCCACTCTCACGCAGCACATAACGTGCGTATCTCGACACTGTTTGCTTATACAATGATCCTAACGACTAACTCCGATCCTCCGTTGACCGCTGTAAACTTACTCTCACCTGTTACGTCATCCAGCTCCTTGGGATGATGCGTGTGGGCATTCTAGCAGGTGGTGTAGAGGCGCCAGCAGAGCATGCCATCCCACCCAGTCAGCGACTGGTCATACGCGCTAACACCTCCCATTAATAAACAGCTGTTGACACAACTGTCTCGAGTGTTATTAGGTTTGGGAATGTGTGGGTTATGCCTCCTGTAGCTGGAATTGGAGACAGACATGAGGAGCAGTTTGATATAACAATGAGTTAAATTTCGAGTGTTCAAAATTTTGTAGGCATGTGGTTTTCCAAAATTTGTTTTAGGATGTCTTGAAAGCTGTTGCGTACCAGTGGTTTGCAGATTAGTAATTGAATGATAGACGTGTATCAATTTAGTAGTCTCCAGAATCCAATATAGTGAGTCACCTTGACAGTCAATATCTTGATTACACTATGTAACGCAAAGTCAAGGGAGGAATATTTAAAGATATTGAGGAAATGAGCAAGAAAAAACATTTGCCCACTGGCTGGATTGAACAACCGACCTCATCATCTCTCGGATCTCATGATCCGTTACAAGTGACGCGCTCTACCACTGAGCTAAGCGGGCTTGTATATCCGTCTCTTGTAATTGTACATAACGCGTTTGGTGTCAGTCACCGCGCCCAGACTTAAAGTGTGAGCTGGCGAGATTGCTGCCGGATGAAACAGACTGATGAACGACCTCATATTTGCAATGAGATAGATCATAGCTAGATGTGATGATGTGGGTATATGTATATTTCGAAACGCAACTATATCACAGAGTGGATATTATTTAATATCAATCCTTATATTATATTACTGGAGGGATGAGAACACGTTGCTCAGCTGGACGTGTGATGCCGATTACTTCCGAGGACTCAGGTTCGCATTAGGGTTACGGTTTCGGATACATAGTTTATAAGTAACGGCTGGCAGCTGCCATGCCATGGATATGTGTCAGTGGTACACTTCCAGAGAGACAACTTGAAGCAATGGGCAATGTTCTATCATTTGTCGCAGATGCAGTGCCTCCAAAGGCCACTTTCTCCGCTAATCAAATTCCAAACCTGACAGGAAAAGTAGTTATTGTGACTGGTGCCAACACGGGTATCGGGAAGGAGACTGCGAAGGTAAATTCGTGCTTTTCCATAATCTCAGAAGCTAAGGAAAGTTTGCGTTGACACGAATTCCAAGGTTCTACTTGCACATGGCGCGAAAGTTTACATCGCTGCTCGCAACCAGGCTGCTTCACAGGAGGCCATTCGTCAACTGAAGCAGGAGACCGGAAACGAGGCAGTATTCTTGAAACTTGACCTTGGAGATTTGAAGGCAATCAAGGCATCTGCTGAAGAGTTCCTGAGGTAAGAGAGGTGTTATTCAAGGATATGCCAGCTTCAAATTTTTGATAGCAAAGAGACACAGCTCCATGTCCTTCTGAATAACGCGTGAGATAGCTTTCTTACCTCGACCAGATCTGCGGTACTGAATATCACGAGTGGCATTATGGGACCGCCGATCGAGCTAGTGACTACAGATGGCTATGACCTCCAATTTGGAACGAACGTCCTTGGTGAGAAATTCGACACTGACACTAACTCACTGAGATGACTTGCTACTTTTCAGGCCACTATTACTTTACAAAGCTCCTGCTCCCCATTTTAACCTCGACGGCTAAAGCTACTCCCGACAGGAAAGTCCGCATTGTAAACGTCGCTTCCTGCGCCCATCTATTTGGAGGTCTCGATTTTAATACTTTCAAAGATGGCCCGGCTCGAAAGAAATGCTCAAAGGCCACCCTTTACAACCAAAGCAAATTCGTACAGCACTTCCGTTAATGTTGTAGAATCAAGCTGATCACGGTACAGGGAAATGTCGTGCTCGCTCTTGGATTGGCGAAGCGATATGGAGACCAGGGTATTATTTCAACGGCGCTGAATCCTGGCATTATCAATTCGGACCTGTTGCGTCATACTGGAACTCAATTTCCAAGTATTGTCAAGAAGATTCTAGTAATCCGCCAAGCCATCAAGTAATCTTTTTGACGCTAACGGGCTGGCCAGTTTAAGGCAGTACTATATGATGTGTCGCAAGGTGCCCTTACGCAGTTGTATGCTGCTACTTCGCCAGAAGCTGGTAGCTTGAATGGGAAGGTGAATCTCGGGATTAAACTTGTGGGATTTTGTGATGCTGAAACGCCTCTAGTATCTTGTGCCGTGGGCTCGCGTCAAACAACCCAGGCAGGAAACCCAAGACCCTCAACTCGGCAAGGCGCTGTGGGATTGGCTAGAGGAGCAAGTGAAGGATGTATGATTTGAAGATAAGCATATCTGAATTCCAAGTTGGGTAGCATCAACGGACATCATCTCGACATTTTGTAGTGTCTATTTGTCTACAACGGGTGAAAACAGGGATCAAGGAGCAACAAGAGAAGTAATGTATGCGGGTCTCAGCCTTCTTCATCGGAGGAAGAACCCAGTGGGATAAAACGCTTTGCACTGGAAGCAGTACGTCCAAGCTTGAAATTACATGTTGAGCCAATCGTGCGTGAAAACCTACTGGAACGCACCATAGACATCTGCGCGCGTCGATCACGCAAACTCATCGATGCAGACATGGAATCAACCGCACGTAATGACGGTACTGGAGGGTCAGGACGGACGGACGAGGTGAATGCCTGATTTGACGTAGCGAATGTGACTTGGCGCCGCGCCATTCCACCTGCAGAATGTTGAACCCGAGTTTTCAAAACAGATTGGGCTGGGGCCTGGGTTGGAGGCGGAGACAAAGACGATAACGGCGACGGCGGAATGGAGATACAACATTTTAGGGGCGAGCGAAGAACTTCTTCCAACTTGATAGTCTTCGGGATTGGTTGTGGATATATGGATGGAGCTGCAGGTGCTGATTCTGGCGTCTTCGTGCTATCTTGGTTGGCAGTTGGTAGGGCAAATTTGTCAGGCTGCGTAGCCGTCGTAGATATATTCGAACTAATTGGTGCAGTGGTTGATGCCAGGGGAATCGCCTCGTGTGCTCGAGCCGATGGAAGTGGATGTCTGCTCGGCTGAGGGGAAGAATGCGTCGTTTGGACAATCGTTGGAAATTTGGTTGCAGGACCGGAAGAAGACTCGGCAACAGGCTTTCGAAACTGTACAGTGGTGTGATTGACTAGAGGAGGCACTATCTCAGTGAGGGGCATCCTCGTTGTGCGTTTGGACCTTGGAGCTAAAGTGTAGCCACTACTAGTAGCAGAGCCACACGCGGGAGAAGTCGACCCCTCGGCGACTAGGGATTTGCGCAAATCCAAAGCGTGTTTTGCCGGAGAATTTGCTGTACGATGTCCCACGAGCTGAGCTGAGGTAGTAGATAATACGCTATCCAATCGCGGCCTCTTATGATCTATGCGAGGGCTACCCATCGCCAGGCCACCTGAATGTGGGTCGTCTTGATGTAACCGAGAGCTGGTGCGCTTGCGGGTGGGGCGATTCTCAGCGAGAGAGGGCATAACTGCTACAGCTGGACTGGAAACACTTAGTGTGCCGTTAGAAGGAGCGGATAGATTCAATAAAGTAAACTTCATGCTATCAATATCGCGGCTCAGATTTGAGATGCTGGACAGGACTTTATCGGCTATAAAAGTTTTGACCTGATCCGCATGCAAAGGGAAGGTTTGTACAAGTGGAAGAAGTGGAAGCACCGCGGTTAATATTGAATGCTGCTGGTCCTGTATGACTTGCATAGCATGATTCTGAGATTGAATGAGCTGTACAATCAGTCTGTCAGCAGAGTGTACTAGAGACAAAGCGGTCTTAGTAGTAAAAACAAGATGTACCATTTGGATCGCATCTATGCGCTTGTCTAGAGCTTGTATGCTGTTTTCCGCTGAAATTTGCGATTTCTGGATCAATTCGAGAGAAGATGCTTGCGATGGTGCACCAATGCAAGCCTTCAACTCGGTTTGCATTTTCTTTGCTAAAAAGAATGATGAGAAATTGAGAATATAGACCATCCAGTTTACAGGCGTTTCAAAGCATATGATCCAAATGCACTCACAACTATTCGAGATCTCGTCGAGCACGCGTTCTCGTTCAATCTCTGATATCCGGTTACAGTTTACCACCTCAGTCTTTGCATCCTTGACGTTTACGAGTAGGGTGTCCACTCTCGTGGAGAATTTTTCAAGGGTCGCCTGCATGTCGTGAATGAGCATTCGCATAGAGGTGTTGGTTCTGTCGACTGGTGCAACTGCAGGAATCATGGCTGTAGCGGTAAAGTCGCTGGACGCCGGGAGGTCCTTCTGGAGGAGATATGCCCATAGTGCATTAGGTGCTGTCTTGCGCTCGGTGCTCATGGTGTTACGGAGAGAGTATAATTTTGATCAAAAGAGATTAACGATGTCAATATGTACGAGTTGTATGTCAGCAGCATGACGCAGTGGAAGCGTGCAGGGCTCATAACCCTGAGGTCACTGGATCGAAACCAGTTGCTGCTAACTTTATTTTTCTGTCCACTTCGATCTGACTTCAATTTTGCACCACTTATTTAGACTCCTATAAGGCGCATGTATTTGGATTTTGGGTTCCCCTCTACTCTCCTGCTTTTGGAATATAACCAATGCATTCCGGACCTAATATAAACCACACGAAACGAGTGGATCGGTAATTTTCTATGAGATTTGCCATTAAATTTGACATGATTCAGCGATATACTACCATACTATAAAGGTGATACCACAAACTACCTGTCACTCGTGGCGGCCTTTCGCGGTCTCACCAATTGAACAGGGCGCTCTGTATGAAGTTTTTGCGAAAACCGTGCGGGCGCATCATAATGTCCTCGGGTGCCCAAAACAGCATTCCCTGGCCTATGACGCCTATACCAGTTGTTGCCATGGGTATATCAAATCCCATACCGCATTCTGAAGGAGATTATAACGTCGCGGTAGCGAATTATGCTTACAGCAAGAATGTAAGCAAGGTTTCCGCTCACTGGTGTAAGTCTCCTTGACATGTAATACTTACTAATACACTTTGTCGACGGTCTGTACAGCGGTAATCATCAACCAAAAAGGTGGGCCGCTACCATGTCCCTAAACTCATAACATGGTGCAATCTACGGTGGTTGTGCGAGGCCGACGTTCTCTGCTGATTCAAGAGCCCATACTCCTATTTCATCCTGCGGAAGTTGACTCCACTTTGCATAAACCTAGCATTTGTTAGAATGTTCAAACAATCTCAACGGAAAAAAATCACGCACTTCATCCAGGATATCCAATAACTCCACCATCTTAGCGTCTGCAGCACGCTGTTTTTGGTCATTATCCTTACATTGGGCATACAAAGCAACATTCTCTTCCTCAAGCTGCAATAAAGTCAGAAAATTGTAAATAATAACAACATTTGAGAGTTACCCACAGCCTGTAGTTCTGCTCGTATACGTTCTACTTCGGATTCCATCACCCGGACAGTACGTGCACGAACAGCAGCTCGCGGTGCGAGATTTTCTCTCCATACGTCCTTGCCATGTATTTCTCCACGTTGTTTTCGAGCTCTCGCTTCAGAGACGACGGCATGGAGAATGTTGATACTATCCCTTACATTAAACTCCTTGAACAAATTCTCACAGCTTTGCTGAGAGGCCGTCTCAGTAATCGCGCATTCCATAACGCTTAGACACGAGACTCACGTGTATTTGATCCTCCATATGCCTCGACACGGTGTTAAAGATACCCTCTGCACCATGTGGCTCTTCTTTGCACCAGAGTGTGAAACATTCCTGAAAATCTTCGTATCTACGCGACCGTTAGTCCAATCTACGCGTAAATATAAGCAGCTTTACTCGCGTCCATTTGTGTGCTGAGCGCGATATTGCAAGCTGGAGCGCTGAGTGAAAATGGGTCCACCGTTTGCTGTCTGGTGCTGTCTTCATCGCGGTCTAGGCTAACGTGTTAATGCATTTGGCACGTGATCAGTAGTGCAGTGCCATTCTCCCAAGTTCCTGCCAAGTGACCACTGGAATGTTGGATGTGTACTACCGACATCTATGGATCGCAATGACGAAACCGATGGGCAACCAGCGAGAATACCACAGCAGAGGAGCTCTGTTCCATCATTTCTGTTCCTAATATTCATGCTCTTCATACTCACAAATCATACTGGGGACGAATTTCTCGCTCGAAATCATTACCAGGATGCCCTTCAATCCCTCAACTACCAGTTGTCAAACTTCACTGGTTGGCTGAATGGGACAGAGTCTAACTTTACAATGGTACGTGCTCGGTTGCTTCTGGCTGCTGATAAATACCGAAGAAGCGCAGCCAGAAAGAAATGCCGCCGCCACCCCTCTTGTAGGGTCATTCATGTCCTTTGGGTCTCGTCTCAACCCACAGTGGGCATCTTATTTTTCAAATGTGACTGGATTTGCGCACGGCGAGATCGACTTCTTCAATATCACCCCTTCCAGCCTTGAACTTGAATCCGCAACCTATTCCTGGAGAACACACGCCGAGGCACTCATGGGCGACGCTAACATGACAAATCTCATCGGTCACTTCGGATCTTGGAATTGGACCGGCTCAGACAAAATTTCATGGAGTATAGTAGATAGAGCTCCAATCAGCGTCAAAGGTGTTACCGAGAAGATCGCCATGGTTCACGTGGGTTACTTTCATTACTTCATTTGATGAAAACTAAACCCCCCACAGGGCAGAATTGATGTCCGTCACCCTGCCACTTCCGACGATATGAAACTGGATTTTGAAGGCGTGCACTTCCTCGCAAATGGGTCAATATATGGCTTTGCTGAACCCACCGGGTGTGTCCTTAGCCATGACGTCCGGACGACAGAAACTGATATTGTATTAGTCGACATATAGACATACGCTACATCCCCGCATTCGTCCCAGAAGCTTTCCAGAATGATACTGCTCGGACGATAGAACCTGAATTAATGTCTAGAGTCAACAAGGTGAAAGATATGATTGATGCGGGTGTTATCGACCAGGATTCGACCAGTATGCCAAATCCAATTCCCATGTCTGTCTCACTTCTAACGGTGCTTGCAGATGGGGAGTCGCAAGGAGGTTGTGGTTTTAGCGTTTACGCGCAAATTGCGCCATCCGAGATACCCGCAAAGGATATGGAGGACCTTGAAGACGAATTACAGAAACCAACGGGAAGATGGACAGTGAACCGTCCGCCTCTCAAGCTTAATGGCGTGCTTTTGAGTCGAGAATGCGGCATTCTATATAACTTGCATGATGCGGAAGGATTAAGGTATGGTTTCAATGTTTCCTGTTTAGGGACCTAACTGAGTGTTTGTTTCAAGGTCTCAGTTGTTCTTCCGGAAGGTTGCCACATGTTAGGGTATTCCGTCTTGACTCAGTCAGTTTATTGATTCGTGTTTTTGGACAGATGCTGGTATCTCAGCTTTGGTGTACTTGGTGCAGTTACTACTGCTCTCTCGTCAAGTTGACCGAAGTCGTACTCCTGCTGGATTGTCTCGTGTATCTCTATGGACTTTCCTTACACAATCTATTGTGGACTCTGTCTCGTTTGCTGGGCATATCACTTTTGCCATCATTGCTAATGGGCGTCCTTCCTTATCGCTTGTGGCTCCGGCATTTGTCGCCTGCGTACTTTTTGCATTTGAATCTGTCAGTGAGCTTTCATTGTTCGATAGACTACACAAACTGAATTGGCTTCTCAGCAACACGCCATCCTCATTAATCAGGTTCAAGCCCCAGAGGATGCAGTGGCGCCACCCCCTCCCCGGCCAGTACAACAGGAACCATCACCATCTTCTCAAGCTGTGCCCACACCAACGACAGCTCCTCCTCGACCTACTGGCCCGACATTCTTAAGCTTATTGTTTCGACACATTCGCTCTGATCCCCAAGCACGGATATGTAGGTGTTTAGGTGTCCTCGTATTCAATTCTGACGTTCCTTTAGGGCTTGGAATGTTTTTCTTCCTAACATTCATCGTCCGAGTCATTGTGACTCCTTCGCTAGCGCTGGTATTTGTGGCGAGCATGTACTCTCTTTTCTGGTTGCCACAGATTGTTCGATCGGTGAAGAAAGGTAGGAGCAGTGCATTGACTGCTGAGTACTTGATTGGCACATCACTCTGCCGACTTTTCCATGCTCTTTGTGAGTACCAGTGCATTTGTTGACGATTTTGTTCAACATGTCTATATTTTCAGACTTCTTGGCATGTCCCAAGAATGTGCTAGATGTCGAGCCTCGCCGTAAGTACAGAATCTTAGATTAACCAGATTTGACTTATACTTTACTAGGTTGGATGTGGTATCTTGCGATGTTCATCTTCCTGCAAGTCTCCATTATACTGCTTCAGCAGCGGTTTGGACCGGCGTTTTTCCTTCCGAAACGAGTAGGTTGCGTTTTCAAGTCGTACAGATGTTTTTGCTGAAAATTGCAGTTTGCTCGTGCGCAAGTGCATGATTATCATCCAGCATTACCGCTTCCTGCCGCTGATCCAGAAGCGCCTGACGAATCTCTCGGGGACTGCGCTATTTGCATGGAGGCTATTCATACCGAAGACGAAAAGCAGCTAGAGCATGTTACTGGTGGATTGCTGCGAAATGTCGGAGCAAGGCGAAGCTACAGCCTTGCTCCTTGTCAACATCTATTTGTGAGTTCTTATCCTTTATATGCAAATCGCACGCTTATACTGTTGAGCAGCATACAGAGTGCCTGGAGAAGGTACGTTTATTGCTTCCCATCGGATTCTAGTTGCTAATCTCCTCTATCTACTAGTGGCTTGCTATCAAGGTAACCTTCCACATAACCGAATGAGCCTGCATATCGATTGATCTTTTTTTAGAATATTTGTCCCCACTGCCGCAGGCCCCTTCCGCCACTTTGACAGATCTGACATCCAAAGTATACCATCCATCATCAACACTATCTCAGCACTACATAGCTTGCATTGCTTGTATTGCATTTTGCTGTTAATTCTAGTCATCTGTACTTGTTCGCAAGCTAGTGCTTCATACCTCAACTACTTAATACTTCGCGGATCCTACTAATTTCGCTTCCGATTATGACATCGTAAGCTCACTGTCATTCACTGACACCGTCCCCACCCAAACCTCAACAGGTTTACCCTCCGCTCCAGGAATTTGTGCGACCTCCTCAAAATGTATACCGATCTTCTTTGTCATTTCCCAAAGAGTACGTTCTGCCACGTCTCGCTCTTTGTAACCAAGAATGATCAGTGGAGGTTTGGCTGGTGCGATACTCATTGAGAATATGATAAGCCTGGAGAGTGTTTCGATGAGTGAATAAAACGATGCAGCGTTATATGTAACATCTGCCATCCTAGTATGAAAGCTCAAAATATTCCCTGATGCAGGTTTATAGGCACTCACACGATCACATCGATGCCACTGACAAATGATGCCACCTGAGTGGATATGTCGGGTTCATTCCAATCGAGAGTAACGCCCTCAGGTACGTTTCCAGGGTGGTATAGAGAAAGATTCGAACTAATATTGCTCTGTAATAGAGGCTGAGCAGAGGCTGAACACCACGATCAGTGATTTTATTCGTTTACCTGGCACATGCTTACGCAAATCGGTGGTTATGATTTTTCCTGCTATGATAGGAGAATTAAAGCGTTGCAAAATACCAAGAACGATAGCGACTACGCCGGTCCCTGCGCCTACTCAGGGTTAGCACTGCGAGGGATATTACCTCGTTGAGAGCTCACACCTAGCTCGAGAACATCGCATTTGGAAGCGAAGAGTGTATTCTTCACCTTTGAAACTAGGGTGGCGTTGGGAACCATCGCAGAGTAAAGTTGAATTAACCAAGAGCTAAGGCCGATACCGCTGTCCCATATTTTCTGTTGGTCATTTCAGCCATCTGCAGCGAGGTAAGTTGATGTCTGACTTGCCTTGTCAAGGTCAAAGGAGGTTTGTTCAATGATGTGGAATATCACAGGTTGGTCTCTATTAATCGCAGTTAACGCATATGCTCTCTGGATCCGCTCCTGCTTTACAATATTGTTTGGGCGAGCGGAGAAAAAGATAGGATCGGAGAAGACGGGGAATGGTTGGCGCCCAAGATTTTCATCATTCAGGGAAAGTACCTGATCTTTTCGTGATGTCCCAGGGCTAAGGATAAGGCGCCAATACTCTCCATTACGGACATTTCGAGGGGGTGGGACGGGTATTTCCTTGTACATCGTAGATGCCTTCCAGCTCGTCAACTTGACGGGCTTTGTTATTACTGAGCTTGGCGTGGGCGAATGCAAGGACCACGAATAGAATATATCTTGAACATCTGTGTGATATTCTGTCCGTAGATCATTGGCGATTTGAGGGGTGATGAGGATGGGTTCACCGGATAAGGCAGCTTGGGTGGGGGGTGGCCGCAAGAATGAAATGTAGTAGAACATAATTCCTCTGACATAGGCCAGACGCTCGAGACGACTTGCCAAATGCTTGATGAGTCCAGGTGCTAGATTAGTAATGCCATGTCAGTAGGGTATGATCATATCATTAGCCTGAGTACTATGTGCCCGTCGCCCAATTTGGTTAAGACATTTTCTGTCCAACGCACACGTTAACATGTCTTGTACCACCAAAATCCTGAAGACGTCTCGTTATTTGCGGCCATGTATTCGTCCTCCCAGTCGCTCTTTTGTCCACTCTTTACCACGTAACCTTCCAAGGATAGGGCGGTTTACGTTGGAGAAATCATTCCAGAGCACACTGCCGACTTTTCGTGACCAAGTTGCCCGTTCAACTGAAGTAGAGTCTTTCAGCTCTCGATTTCCCCGGCCGACAATAAGGAATCAAGTTCTTGTTAGCAAACTTCATTTATTTTTCATCTGTTCATGCTTTAGCTAGCTGGCTTATGATTTCTCAGTTTTTTGTCGGCGGGTCTTTACTTGCGTATTCGATAGCCGCAAGCCAAACTGAAATCGACACCGAGTATTGGTCAAAACAACTGGTATCTGTCTCTCACAGATGGACTTTGCGACCCCCAACTACTGAAGAGATGAGAAAGGCTCAGTACCTAGAGCTTGGCAAGGTGCGTTTCACACTTTTCCGAAGTTCTTCATGATAAATTTCATCTTCTTCAGTATCTACAAACCCAAGTAAATCAACTCAAAGATACACTGGCGGAGTGGCCTCTTGCATTGCGTAACCTCGCTCTCTCCGTTTACGTTCAAGCTGCACAATCATACCTTGATGCCCCCGAAGGCAGAAGATTGTGCTGGTTAATTTGCGGCGTCAACACAGCTATATATCTCGTGTGGAAGATACCACGACTCGCGCCGTTCATGACCCGATCTTTCACTCACCACCCGTTGTCAGGACGCTCATATACTTTGCTAACGAGCATGTTTAGTCATAAATCCTTCATTCACTTATTGGCAAATTCGATGGCCCTAGCTAGCTTTGGTGCGCTAGACAGCTCTCTGGAGGGACATCCTAACATTTTCCCTCTTTAAGGCTCTGCCGCCACGCACTATTTTACCCTGGAGCAACTCAAACATGGTGAACATCAACAAGAAGCCACTGCTAAGTGGCATTTCCTTGCCTTCTTTATCTCTGGTATGACGCTTGTGTCAGTTTTCGTTGGTTGGTTTGCTCATCTTTCGAAGCCGGACTCTTCTCTGGTTTGGTCAGCCACACTGCTGCTTGCAAAGTTCTCTTTCCTCGCCTTATCAATCAGTTCACTACATCTGCAGTCATAAAAAACTCCCCAGCTGCTGCTGCAATATCTAGCACAGCTGTAAAGACTGCAACTGCTGCTCCACAAGAGATTTTACCGTCATTAGGCGCGTCTGGTGCCATTTACGCAGCTGTGACAGTTAGCGCACTAGCCTTTCCAGACGCTCAAGTCAGCCTCATTTTCCCTCCTTTCGTTTCGATACCGATTCAGGCGGGAGTTGGCGGTCTCGTCGTGCTTGACATGATTGGCATCGTACGCGGCTGGAGGTGGGTACACGAATGTTCATGAGAACATCGCTGACCTTGTTGATGCCTTTGAAACAGGATGTTTGATCATTATGCCCATCTTGGTGGTGCGGCGTTTGGTGCAATATATTATATGTACGGACCGCAGTGGTGGACCTTCATGAGGGGCGAGTATCAACAACTACACACTCCCCCATCGACATCTTAGATGGTGACATGTCCTAGGATCACTACTTAATCCACGCTCAGCCATTATTGACACTCGACAGCGCAACGATATTACATTGATGATTACTATTGTACAATGGCAGGGAACAACGTTTCTTGAGGAACATTTTTTGCGGCATGATCAATCAAGTGATAGAAATACGCTTGGTTTCCTGCTCCTTTCCAACTTTGGGGAAAGTGACGCTCAAAACTCCATTCTCCATCTTTGCTTTGACATCCTCAGGCTGCAGGTGGCTTGAGCTTCAACCCACGAACATAGTAAGCTAGACACGACACACCTTTGTTCCCATAGGCAGTTGCAAGATACGAGAAAACTTTCCGTATGTGCGCTCACGCACAGCGTAATCCTCCTCTTGGCGCGCACTCTCTGCACCCATTTCCCCTGAGATGGTGAGGCGGTTCTGCTGCACGTCAATCGAGACATTCTCCGGCTGCATGCCAGGCAAATCAAACACGGCTGTGACTTCATTGCTATCTTTTTTCTCGATCAAATCCATCCTACTCAAGGTTAGCGGTGCAATGATTCAAAGTTCCTTTTTATGCACATACTTTGGGCGGAATGTCCCAAGGCGAGACCCGCTTTCGACGGCTCGACTGACGTCAGATGTCGGACGGAACCGGGCGCTGAAAGCATCGTCGAAGAGGCGCTCGAACTCGGTGAAAGGGTCGTAGTGGAAGTGAACAAGGGACATGATAATAAATACGTATGTGCTCGATTCAAGTGTGCAGTGATGAGTGTTCTGGCGAGAGGGGGATGTTCCCTCCTGACAGTAAATTTATATTTCTCCAACACCCCTAGCTGCGGCTGTGTGCCGAGAGGGGACAGCATTGCTTGAATTCAAATTGAACATTCGATCATCGACTCAGATCCTTTTCATCCAGCTACGCGGCTCCTATATTTTAGAACCATTGATTTCCTCAGGGATGAGGTTGGATATGAACCAGTGTAGTATGGAAGGGTCGACTTTAGATCTAATTATTATAAAGAAAGAACGTTATTCAAAAGACTAATAGTGACGCGTTCAAGGGCGTCCAAAAATTTTTTGGCCAGCGTTCTTGGCCAATTCTTGTATTCCTGCGCCAACTATTTCGCCAACCATTTTCGAGGTACTCGCAGCCCCTGCTAGACTCTCGACGCTCTTGGCAAACAAGTTCCATCCAGTTGCGTTTTGCATCCGAGAGCTTGCTCCAGCATTCATCATCAATGCGGCTTTCACTGAGTCAAGCTCGTTAATCACTTCAAGCCCCACAGATCGTGCCCACACCACTGGCTGCGCTGTAGAAGAGTAGACCTTGTGCAGTTTGTCTACCGCTGACATCACCTTGTGGTTCTCAAAATAGCGTTCCCGCGCGTAGGGAATCAGAGCCGTATACGAGCCTGAAGAGATGATCAAAAGGCACTTCTCGATGAAGAAAGGCGTGTCTCACCGATGTCTCCTCCGTGCATCAGAGCTTGGATTATGCACCTTGATAGAGCGTCGACGTCTCCCAAGCCCATGTTTAGGCCTTGTCCTGCTAGCGGATGGACGGTGTGCGCAGCATCCCCAACTAAGACTGTGCGGCTTCCTAATCCCTCTCCAAGATAGGATTCAGCATGGTTGTAGCGGAGCGGAAAACTTGCTATGGTGCCCTGCTGAATTGATGTCACGAGGGGAGGAAGTGCATCTGCATCATCCGGGGGAATACCACCATCGGAAAGCATTGATGTAGCAGATGCGTACGCAGAGTGACTTAAAATGCCGTCCGAGCGTTCCCTGAACGTGATTTCTTCCTTTATCTCCTCGCTTGACTTAGCGCCTTGAAGAAGTCGTTTGTAGATGTGCTGCAGAGATGGCTCTGGGAGGCGGAAAGCGGCATTGATTAATTGATCCAGCACTCCTGGGGATGATTTATTCAGCGCTGCTGCCAGATGAGGTTTGGTCGACCATACAAGCGAAGAGGTGCAAGGGGAAAGCGGCAGGAATGCAATTGGACCTGTCGGAAGGAATCTTTGGTAAGCTGTATTGTTGGGTGCTTGGAATGGTCCTCGCGGCGCGTGATTTAGCGTCGCAACGACCGCTTGCGTGTCATATGACCATCCATATGATGAGATCCCAGCGAATGACCTTACTGGAGAGCTGAACCCGTCGGCGCCAACCAGTAGCCTCGCGCGTAGTGTGGTGCCATTGGAAAGATGCACGAGGGGCCAGTCATTGCGGTCACCTGCCTCGCGTTGTATCGATTCGACTTTGACGCTTTGAATTACCTGGACACTCGGGGTGTCCGAAAGCTTTCTTAGTAGTCCGCGTTGGAGGTTCAGGTTTTCTGTCATTCGAGCCATTTCGCTCGACTGCGGCATTTCAGACGCGTCAAAGATGATGCGAGCACCAGAAACGCCGTCCCACACCTAGGTATGAGACAATTAAGCACAAAAGGTTATGTCACAATACAGAGACGGTACCTGCATCTGGTGAATAGGATTCGTGCGTGCCTGTTCGATGTAGTCCCAGATTCCAATCCCTGAAAACAATTAGCTATGTCATTAAGCACCTTCACAAAGTACACGCACTATTCAAGAAATGCTGAGATGCGTTTGTGATGGAACTGACGCGGTTTGAGTACGCATTGGGCGGCATGCCCCAATCCTGTATTTTGGACAAGTCACCCCCTTCTATTAGTGCAATTTTGAGTGAACTCTTGGCAACAGGGTTCGCGGCTGTGCATGATACTCGAATGAGAGTGAGACGTGGGCGAAAAAAGCGACGCACCGAGGGCAGCTGCCAAAGCCAGTCCTGCTGGCCCGCCTCCTACTATCACAATGTCATTATCTCTCGCGTGTTCAGAACTGAAGGATCTGAGAAAAAGTCTCCGTCGACATTCTAGACACGCTGATGGTCTTGGCTTGGCGAAAAAGGCCATAAAATAAATCGCAAGTTTATGGGGTTGAATGTGTGACCTTGACAAGCGCCTATCAGCCTATTATGTAGTACGGGCTTAGTGCTAGCGCTTGCCAGTACCACTAAGCTACTTAGTATCTTCTTGTGGTTTCTGAAGTCACTTTCACTTATTCCTTAATCCAATCATTCACTCATAAGACCCATTTCCTGGTAACAATCAAATTTGAATATTGGAGGCCAGTCTTGCTGCTGTAGCTCCTATGGCTGCCCCACAGGTATCTGCTGCGCAAGCCATCGGCGAATACCTCCAGTCTCCTGATGATCTCCTGAAAATCTCAGCATTTCGGAAGAAACTGGAGAAAGAGAAAGCCTCAATTGATGCCAGACTCAAAAGTGGCGTGAAAGAGCAACTTGATGCAACTCGGGAAGGACTCACGAAATTGCTTGGGACGCGAAACAACGTTCAGGTCATAAAGGAGGAGATGCAGATTGTGGACAGGATGTGCTCCGACCCTCAAAATGTTGTGTCAACATTCGATCAGATCAGCAGGGTGCGTTATCTTTCATTTACGTATTTCGCCAGCTTGAGGTTGTACAGGTGTCTATGGTACACAGGAATTTCGAACAGACGGAGGAGATGGTCAACAATCTACTGGAAATGAACTCAAAGCTTGACGTACTAGAGGAATTATTGGAAGCGGAGAGCAGAACCATCATTGGGCCCGCTCCGAATCTCCTTCCAATCCACTTTCACATCAACCGTCTGGAGGCATTCCGAAATCAAACCATGCATCAAGCCAAGAAAGCTTCTGCCAATTCGCGCCAAAAACTTGCACGTATGTTTGAGCGGTTGAACAAGCTCATCGAAAACTTTGAGGCATACATCATGGAGTTAGCTTGCAACGTGCTGCCACTTGTTCGTGCAGGGTATCCACAAGTTGTGATAAAGCTCATAAAGATCGTGGAACTTGAGGCACGGGAAGACGAAAAGGTATGACACGCTACATCATTCACATAGAGCGAAGTTGATATGGTGTAAGGCCATCGCTATCAGGCTCGTCAAAAAAGCTGCCAAGATGGATGCAGCATCTAAATTCAAGTCCATGCAGGCAAATGCCCGTATCATCAAACACTACCGCTCCAAAGCTACCAAAGCAATATCTGACTCTATCAAGGCCAATTTTGACGACGCATATACGCGGCATCAGCACGACCCCAGCGCCTTTCTTAATGGCCTTAGTTGGATCTACCAAGACCTCATCCGCATCGAAAGCGACGTGGTACAATGCTTTCCACCGAGCTACGAGATACATGCGTTCTATATCAAAGAGTACCATCGTACTCTAAATGCGACCCTTCAGCGCATCATCGAATCAGAGCCCGACGCGAGCATCATGCTCGACCTTCATGCCTGGATTAAAGAGTACAAGAAAAGCATGAAAGAGTTGAATGTAGCTCCGGAGCTCCTTGATCCACCGTTATTAGGCGGCGAGGAGCAGAACCTCATCGAGGACTACTTAAAATTGATTGTCAAGAAGCTTGATGAATGGTCTGCGAACCTAATGAAGACAGAGATTCAGGAGTTCACCACGCGCTCGGATCCACCTGAGGTGGATAACGATGGACTCTATGGCACACAGGGCGCGGTTATCCTTTTCCAGATGGTGAACCAACAGATCGATGCAGCGACAGAAAGTGGCCAAGGAGCTATTCTTGCTCGTGTGGTGGGTGAGGTGAATCGGGTTATGAGGAACATACAGGATCAGTGGACCAAAGTTGTCGAGACAGAACTGAAGAAGCAGACGGAGAAACCGGAGGAGGTCGTCGGGGGTCTGGCAGAGTATTGCATTGCACTTGCCAACGACCAGATCAAGTCCGCTGACAACACCGAGGCGCTTTTGGGACGACTCGAGCCTCTTGTATCAGAGAAGTACCGAACGCCAATCAATGAGAAGCTCAATGACGCCATCGATGGAAACTTGGACGTTGCAAAGAAATGCATTCAGACATTTATTGATATTATCCTCAATGACTTGAAGCCCGCGACGAAGCAACTCTTCCAGCCAACGTGGTACGATGGTATCATGGAACAGATCGTGCTGACAATGCGGGATTACATGGCCGATCAATCTTATATCAACCCATCACTCCTCGAACTTCTTGTCGAGTATTTGCTTGACGCCTTCCTGGTTACTTATCTTACTGCGCTCGCCAACTGCCCGAAATTACGCATGCCAGCAGCAACGGAACGCATCAAAGAGGACATCAGTACTGTGTTCTCGTTCTTCAGCGCGTTCAAACCCACCAAAGAGCTCGAGCCATACTTTGAGGTAGTGGACTTGATTTTAGCGATGTTGGAAGCGTCTAAAAGCATGGTTTTCCTGTCATTTTGGGCCTTCGCGAAAGTGCACGGGCCATGTATACCGTTCGTAGAAGGACTGATGAAAGTTCGAGGAGATTTCGATCGTTCTGCTGTCAGTGAAGTCATGGATAGCATAAAGCGCAAGGTAAAAGATGAAGGCCTAACTGATCGTGAGTGATTTCTGTAAACTGTGCTCATCATGACGATGCTTATTATCGCGCCTCAGCTCCGGAACCAACGATCATGAAGAAGATAACGGTTCAAAGCACGCTATCACGTTTCTTGCGGACATAATAACATTGTTATCTATTTGCTTTCGGTTTACCTTTCCATTGCATTGTACTGTACTCACACGATATCCGCCCTATTGGAATATAAAGCATCGTTTCATTGTGGCTTAGAGCCTTGTCGTCTACATGGACCTGATCTCTACGTTATTTAGTCAGTCTTGGTGTTATCTACAGCCGGACTGGAGCGATCAGGCAGGACTGCAGCTACTTCATCTATTTTCTTAAACTGCCAGGGGAACCTTGAGGGATAGAGAAAAGGGCGGAGATCAAATCCTGTGCGACGATGTCAGTCTGGGCAATCTGTAATATGGAGTTTTGAGCACAACATACTGTTGTCATCTGGACTGTAGGATTCCTACGACAAGGTTAGTCTCATTAGTTTGAAGATAAATCTACCTACTGCATGGTATGACGGTGTCAGGGTTGTCATCTTATGACGGTTGCGCGCATATTCAAAGAAGAAATGCTTGACTTTCTCTGCGATCTAGAAGACGTGATGAGCGGATTGCAATTGACCTTGAACGACGACATACTTGAACAGGAGACAGGAATGAACCCCACTCGTGCACCAGCTTCGTGAACATGCCGTATGGTCCACATTTCTCCACTTTGCGGAAACGACCAAAGACCGACAGTTCATCATACGTCATGCCCATGTCCGCCTATCGAGTGATCAGTACCATTGAGAGCACACTTCCAAAAGAACTTCACCTCATCCGCTTGGACATATGTATCTGAAATTGGCTCTAGCTCGGCGGTCGGTATGGCACTCAAAAAGCTGCAGAACATCGGGAAAGAGTTTCGATCCTAATAGCCAGCTGTACTAACTCGTTCAAGATGGGTATTTCAAACGCATCCCGAGCGTAGGCAATAAACTTCTTGAGGTCGGTCTTACTGATACCGCCAATAGGATTGATATCAGCTGACATTGATGTTAGTTAATCCAGCATTTCTTTCGCGACAGGCTGACCTGATGAGCAATCGTATTTTGTAAGATACCCGCGGAGACTGAACCCTAAGTCAGTCGATTATCACCACTCCGACCAGTAAACATACCTTTCATCAACGTTCGCACTGCCAAGGACGAGGAGCGCACCCTGTCTGCCTCGCACCCAAGGAAGCAGTTGAGCGAAGAGATAAGCAAGGAGCATCCTCAACCGTGCCTTACAGCAGTCATCAGTGACCGTGTAGATTACAATTCACGGCACTTACCTGAATGTTCTGCAGCGCCAAATTCTCCGCGCCCGATCCGCCATGGGCTCTGAACTGGGGCCGCATACCAGTAACGAATGCGAACAGGTCACGGATAGATGTAACAAGAGTGTCCATGTTCAAGTCTACATGATAGCTAGATTTATTTTGAGTCGAGCGTCTCAAGGAATTAAGTGGACGCATGCCTTCCGATAGCTGCTGAAAGGTCCTTGGCCCTCTTTCTCGTTTCTGCACTAGAGTTCTCAGTGCCCATGTAACACGTGTGGAAGATTTTGTTGCAAAACTCGCGCGGATCCAAAGGAATATAAGCTGAGTCTTCAGGCTCTCCGACCATTCGTCTTGCATCAACAACGACTTGCTTGTCTGATTAAAATGAAAATGTTAACAAAAACACCAAATATAGCAGATAAATGGCAGTACCTCCCTTGCGTGCAGCCTCAGCCACGAGACGGCACATGGAATACACTATCACAGCTGTTGCGCAAGAATCGATACCTCCGCTAAGAGGGACAAAGTATCCCTGTGTGCGGGAGCGCCTGAGGTAGTCCCAGAGCCAGCAAGCCGGACCAAGTCTGTGGAGAGCATTAACATCAGCATTTGCACACGAGTAGCAGGCCTACGCTATCTCTTCCTCTGGAGTATGAAACCTTGCTCCAGAAAGCTTGGCCTGGATACCCAGGGTCATCGCCCCGTGTGTATCACCAAATTTTCCACTTGAAAGCGCAAACGGCACTTCAATCCGATGAAACGCCTCAGAACGGGCGGCCTGGAGCCCGCGGCTGCGGGATGTGCGATGTGAGCGTACGTCCTCGATGTCGATCATAGCTGTGACGACCTCAACATCCTTCAAGGAGAACTGTGAACCTTGGGCGACAATGTGACCATTCATGGCGATCATGGCACAACCATCATAATACAGTCGATCACCGTCGCAGCCTTGTTGATTTGCATAAAGATAGACGCCACCAAGCTGAAAAGTGAGTTAGCCGGCAGAGTCCATACTGAGGCATGCTAATTACCTTGAGCGTCGCTTCCTTTACTAGCTCAACGCGGGTGTAAAGTTTTCGTAACTCGTGATGGCTCCCACTAGAATTAGTGAATATTTCGACGCCGTCAAGTCCCATTAAGATATGCGGACTTAAAGCATGCGAGTATGAATCACGTGCTCGAGAAAGATGAAGATACATACCTTGCTGGCGTAAAGAGCTCTTCACAGAGCTCGACACCTATGCAGGTGTCCACCGTACTTATGACACAATCTCCAAAAGGCACTTTTACCTATATAAAAAGTTACGCATGACTGAGGTTGAAGGAAATAATAACAAACCTGTTTCGTGACGGTTTGAATAATCCTTGGGAGGAAGTGATCTTCCCACTGTTGATACTTCATCCAGGGAGTAAAGTACCGCATTTCGCGGTAATTGCCATCGTTAGCGAGCCACATCTTGGGGCGAATGAGCAGGATCTGCCTGTTGTGTACAATGATACGGCAGTTGTAAATCACGTTCTTGTGCACCACGGGCCTGTCATATTTTGAGCGAAGTTTATAGGTTCGGTAGATGATGTTTTACACCTACATTCCAATATCACAGATGATTCCCATGGTGTCGTCGCTGGCCAAGATCTTGGCCAGTACCTCCCAGGAATGGAGAATAGTGTCCCCTGTGCTAGGTCATCAGGAGTGCCATGTTTATACGCGTGTTTGTACCTTCAAGGAAATGATCGTAGCAGCCATATCCACTATTGTGGAATATCTCAATTATATGCGCCATCGCAGTACACGAATACTGACGGAATTTCCAGCTCTGGTCCAACTCTCAGGGTAGCACCGCGCTCCTTTGCGATCGCGATGCTTTGAATAATACGTTCATAGTTTCCCTGATACGTATAACATTACTCAAATGATGCGTGATGACTGTATAATGAAAAACGTTACCTGAAAGTCTAACGCCCACTGGTTCAATGAACTTTTGAGCACTTTAGTAGATGCTACTAGTAGTTGAGATTGAGGTTACTATAACGCACCATCTGGAAAGATGTGAGTAAATATGAAGATATGACAGATATGAGAGGGTACTCACGTAGCCAATGTTATCAAGTGCCCCATGATGGAGTTCTCTACTGGTGGCTAGCCTGAGAACGAGCGCCGTGCACGTAACGACTAGCTGCCAGCAGCACCCCGGGCCGGCTTTTCTCTATCGGTGCTCGTCACGTGATCATCTGACCAAGGGAGATCGACTCTTGAACTGCTCTTGAAGCAACCAAATGAACATGCATCGCGGCGTTGGTCTCGCTGCTTTTGACAAAGAACAGTTATCACAGCGTTTTGCAGAACTATCGTCAGAGCTCTCGAAAACCCAAGTCGATCATCTACAATCCCAACTATCACAATTCCGAACTGCCCTTTCGCACTTCGCAACGACACACAGAGATTCGATTCGTAGCGATCCAGCGTTTCGCCATGCATTTCAGAAAATGTGCTTGTCGATTGGCGTAGACCCACTTGCTGGGCCAAGGCAAGGCGGCTGGTGGGCAGAGATGCTTGGGATGGGCGATTGGCAATATGAGTTGGGAGTTCAGATAGTAGACGTGTGCGTAAGCACGAGGGAGAGGAACGGGGGTGTGATAGAAATGGGGGAGCTCGTCCGTATGGTCAGCAAGTTGCGTGGCATTGAGAGTGGCGTCACAGAAGAAGATGTTATAAGAAGCATTAAGACACTTCAACCGCTCGGCGCCGGATACGAGGTGCTGGATGTTGGTGGTGGAAAGAAGATGGTAAGAAGCGTGGTCAAGGAGCTAGATGCAGATCAGGCTGTAATCATTGCGGAAGCACAAGTAGAAGGAGGATGTATTGTTGAAGCAATCCTGGAGAACCGTCGAGGATGGACAGGAGAACGTGCTCAAGCTGCTCTTGAAAATATGCTTCTTCGAGACGGCCTCTGCTGGCTCGATTCTCAAGATGAGCACTATGGGCGAGCCTATTGGGTCCCGTCTGCCATGCGTTGGGACGAGTGATTCTGTTGCTCAACAAGGTGCGTGAGTTGTACTTGTGATTATTTAACATCGATGATATTAAAATGGACCTGAGGACAGAAAGTTCATTTGTAATTGAGCCGGATAACCTCTAATCAGAGGCTCGACTGTCAATACCCGTACTACCGTCTCCTGCATTTCCATCGAAAGGACGCAGAGTATATTCGGTTTAGAAGCACCCACTCGCGACTTTGAAGCGCTTCACATGATGTTGGATATGCAACAGTCGAAACGAAGATAAAGCAGGGAGAAAAGAAACCATATCCTTCGTAATAGACTGATTTAGAAGCTTAACATTATGACATTATCCACGGGTACTGACTCCTAAAATTCCGACTATGTGGCGTTGTTCAGAATATATGGGGTTTGGTAGAACCACAGGTTTCGCTTCGTTTGTCGTCATTGAGTCCCACTATTTTCTCATTGACAGTAAAGTTTCTGATTTGTTATACCAGGCATTGCGTTCAACATGTATATCGACCTGGCGGCCTCTGGCCGAGCGTCCATGGGCTCGACAGACAGGCTTGTACAGAATTTTGTTTCCATGTTGGTGTTGGATTACCTGCCATCCATTTCTTGTTCTTAATAACGGTATAGACTTGCAGAGAATCTGAACATCATTTCATGAAAGGTGTTGTCTGTGTATGGGCCCGTCAGTGTCTTGTCACCTCCTGTGATTTTGCTCCGTGTAAAATGACTAATCAAAAACACAGCTCACGGATGGATTTGAATCAATACTTCGTTTGGGTGGGAACATAGAAGTAGATTGAACATGCGCTCCCAACGTCGAAGTTGCGGGGTCAAACAGTGGTTCAAATGCTTGCAAAATTTGCACACAACGCATACTAGCGTGAGCCACTTCACATAGTATTTGTAATGCCATGGTGCACTGATCTTCATGGCTCCCCACAAATGTCATGCCCAGTGACTTGTCCCTGACTTGTACTTGAGCTAAAGTGACAAATTTGAGCTTTGGTATACAGCAATCCTTGAAACCGCTGACGAAGAGACTCCTCAACAGAAGCCAGAAATTACAGGCAAGACGCCTCTCCCGTGGTGCCAATTTTCTATTAAGGTCAGCACTTGTTGTATTTCACTCAAACAATGGATGATGAAAAGACGTTCAGCTGATGCGAGACATTGGCGTGACCAACGGCGAAGAAGCTCTTGTACAGGTACGGTATTCATGTACAGCTGCATCCAACCCAACATCCATTGGTGGCTTGCGCAAACTTGTAGTCCGTTATATGAGCTGGCGTTAGCGCAACTCCTCTAGAGATTAGAGGTAGAGCGGGATAGAAAAGATCCAACAGGTAAGAGAAACGGTCTCAGTCTCTGAAAAGAACTGTTTATTGACGAAGCGTATACCTAACAGGTAAGAGAAACGCTACGCTAACTCAGTAATGTGTAGGCTAACGATAAAGGTATAGACTCACGTCTCAGTCTCTGAAAAGAACTGAGACGCTCGTGTTTTTGGGCGCTACTATTTATACGGTAAGTGTTTCGATAATTAGGCAGGTGAAATTTTAACTTGGACCTATCGGTCCCGACGTCAACAGCTCCTTCTCCGTTCCTCCCGCCCCCGACATATCCCTTGCGCTCGTACCTGCTATCTGGCATCCCGAGTCTCTCCGTGCTCGGTATCTTCGGACGACGTCAATAACTCCTTGGTGGTGGCGACGCAGGTAGCATGTGTATAAGGGTTCAGCGATCTTTAACTTTTGTTGGAAGGACTGTAGTGAAGCGTAGATACCGCCTGACTCCAATGACAACCCTGAGGCTGGGGCTTGCAGCGTGGGCAATAGAAGATACAAGAATCCGTTTAGTGGCTGTACATGAGCTAAGATGCATGCTGGCATTGAAATTGCTGCGATCCGCATTGTGTGCTCACTGTTGTGTTCCAGCGCCTAGTTATCGCAACCGCAACGGTGACGATGCACTGTCTTTTGGACCTTCCAAGCGAACTCCTATGTCAAATATCCAAGAATCTAGCAAATGATGAACTTCTAGTGCTCTGCATCGTCTCAAAGCAGCTTCACTTTGCTGCACTGACCGTCTATTTCGATCGGTTCGCCGGCATCAATGCCCCTACGAACGCACCTGCCAGTATCTGCCAGCCGACTGAAGCTGCATTACGCGGGCTTCTGTTGGCACTCTGGGTGAAGAAATGTAATTCCATCTGCTGTACTGTCAACAATTATGACCAACTCAACTTTCTTACGCGCTTTATCTCAAAGTTGGAGCCGTTTCGCAACCTCCACTTACGCTTCGGGCGTGGCATGGAGCCATACTCGAGAAATGTCATCTTTGGACTTATAGATCTAATGGTTGTTATCAAGAAACAGGGATGCGAAGACATGCTGATAACTGGGGGACACACAGACAGAGCATGGGTTCCAGGAGTAACAGATCTGACCCGCGCTTTGCGCTTGGAAGGTGTAGTCAGCACCGTGGATGTAAGTTTATCGTCTTCTCGATCTATTTCTACCTACTTATTACCATGTAGACTGTTGTCAGATTTTGCAGGAAATTGTTTCGTCGTTATAAACGTGACGAGAATTACTGGATCACGATAACACCTTCCCTCACTACGTTGAAGGTAGTCAACCTTTCAACAGACTACTTCTTCGCGCCATTCATGAGCACATGGACTATTCGGACACTCAATGATTCTTCCATCACTTCGTTAACACTTGACCTTCGCTTTCGCAATGCGCCGAAGTGGACCCATATCCTGTCAATGCTCCGCCTTCGCCATCTCCGAGAATTTGTTATTTCCTCCAATTCATTATCACTCCAGTGTTTGACACAGTTTCTGCGACGTCATAACGGGCTCACCTCACTGACCACGAAAGGCCTTTCCTTGGAGGACAATGAGGCACAGAACAAGTCGGTCCTCACCCTTAGTGCCCTTCCCAAACTTAGGACACTCGTGGGATTGCCGAATGACATCGGGCACATCCTCCGTCTTCAGCCTGGCTTCAAAGCCCTCAAATATATAGACATCAACGACCCTGATGCTGATGGATACATTTCATCTGTGAACGACTGTCTCGACGCGATGGTAGCCAGAGACAAAGTTTACGTGACTTCAATAGCAATCAAGACGGAACACATGTCTTGGCTGCTGTCACAAAGCAGTGCAGGTTCAGAGAGGGCGATGCCGCTCATCACATCCCTCACGATTATTTGGAAGGGCCAAAATGAAGAGTTGCCCTCACCAAGTTTCACAGCCTCATTAGCTAGCTGGGTAGCATTGTTTCCAATGCTGGAACATATCCACTGGGGAGTGAAGCGGGACCTCGAAGGATCACAGGCCGAAAGAAACATCGCCATTGCTATTATCAACCGTTGCCCTCGTCTCAAGACTTTGGAATTGCTGAAAGATCCTCCCGATCGTAAGAGGCAACCTCCTCCAGTTGATGTGTGGCTTAGGAACGGTACGTGTCTGCATTTTGTTGAACTCCCAATCTGACATACGTACTCTGAAGATCCCTTGTCGATTCAACAATTGGCATGGTCTCAGGACAGTCAATATAGTGAGCAGATCATGTGTTATTACAATTAAGACTGCTGAATCAGTTTCTATTCAAGGTGTTGCCTCTTGTTCTTGTCGTGATAAAGCTTGAGGATAGTCGGTAATATCCATATTCTGTCGGGGTATGCAAGATAGATCAAGTGTGTTCCAGATACTGATCATTACTAGTGCTGTGCCAGCTTAGATAGCGAATACCGTACATCCTAACCACAAGCTAACCACTTCCTGTTAAGCCCGGCGGGAAACCCGAGAAATCTATCTGATCTTGGACTGCTTGCCCAGCAAGGGTATATGATATACGTAGCCGTAGCCGTATATTGGACTTTTGTATAAAATCATCAATCAGAAAGTAATTTCCATATAAAGAAACAAGAGATACATACACCAGGTGGGGCCATTACACGCATTTGTTGAGTTTCCGTGGCACCTGGCTGAATATCGGGATTCGACATGGGGAGCATCTGCAGTTGTTGTGACTAGACAACAGCTCAGTGGTGTGGTCACTAACTTGTTGGATCTTTATCCTTACCTTTGGAACAGCAGCCTGGAAGTTAAGTCCGATAGCAGCGTTAGAACCGGAAACTTGGAAGCGGGCCATGATATTGACGACACCTGGTCGCGCAGCTGAGGTTTGAGGTGTAAGGGTAATCTTGAGCTCCTGTTTATCATAAGCGGTATAAGAGGTCAGCCGTGGCGCAGGTGGGTGCTGTTGTTGCGGAGATGGTCGGGTAGGTGCCTGACTCTGTGACTGTGGATACAAGGTGGCCAGAGCGGATGTGGCAGGGGAAGGAGCAGGAGCAGGAGTAGGCGACGCCGGAGAAGAGTCAAACAAACCAAGAATATCTTGAACACTGTTCTTCTGTGGTTGCGGTGAAATAGAGGGTGTGCGACCAGGCGTCGAGGACGGGGCGACAGGGCTGCTACCAAAGATCTCCGCGAGGAGGTCATGATTGTTGTGCGTTGCCTGGCCATTGATGACAGGCGTCGGCGGTGCCACCTCATCGCCCAAAAGATCGGCATCCTTCCCGCTTTGTGTAGACCCAACGGGCTTATTCTCACTGACTGGGAAAACGTCAGAACGCCGTCAAATCGGATTCAAGAGTCTACGCACCAATGCCCATTACAGTAGCTTTGAGCTCTGGAGGTGGCATCCGTTCTAGGACGCCACTCCTTAGATCGCCCAAGGTGAACAAACTCGCGAATTCAACGGCGCGTTGTTGCAATTCCAACTCTGGGCTAGTGGTGTACTTGGCGAGAACCTCGGCAATTCGCTGTTGTTGTGGCAAAGTTGTCGTAGTTCTGGAGGCCAGTTTGGTAATACTTGCCATGAGGAATTGGCGAGTAAGGGAGTTCGCGTAGGGCGAGTCAAGGGTGGTAAGTAGGAGATCCAAAAGGTCCTTGTCGGTAATCTAAAAGAAGTCATCAATTCTCAATTCCAGGCACGTAGTGTATTACTGACTTGCTTGGGCTGGTCCTCGTCCAGGACACCACCCTCGAAGAGCACATCGCCATATTCACCGATTACCCACAGAGCAGCCAAGGTCAGTGACTCTTGTGAGATGTCATCCTGGAGAGCAGTATAGAGCTTGGACGATGTGTATGCTTGCAGCTCCGGGGTATGAGCGACAAGACGGATAAAAGCAGACAGGATCTCCTCGCGGACAAAGTTCCCGGCCTTACATGAACTTGATTGAATAGATAGCTTCGACGCTGAGAACTCACTCACCAATTTGAGCACCCTAAGTACAGTGTCGATGTGCCACCGTTTGTTTGGAGCAAATCGTTCTGCAGCGAGCGATATCTGTGTTGTCATGCTAAGCTTGAACTCGTCGTCCGCAACCTCAAGGAAAGCAAGGAGTTCGCGAATGAGGATTCGCACGTTCTGCTCATTGATGAGCGCATATGACAATTCGAGAGCACGCCGCCTGATGGATATATCACCGTCCCGCAAACAGTCTAGGATGATATTTCTGTGTCGTTGAACTGCATTGGTGTCCATTCCGACCACTTTATTCAAAGTGTTCAAAGCGACATAACTGAGGAAAATAAGCAGATATACTTTAGAAAGTAATTGTAACCGACCGAATGTTATTGTCGCGGTTACCCAAGAACTTGCCAAGGATATTAATAGCCATGACGCGCAAACCAGAATCCGCTTCGATCTCAAGGATCGTCAGGACAGCTTCATATAATATTGAATTTCCGACGTTCTTGGTCGAATCAGTGTTAGTTGCAACCTGCGCCAGGATATCATTCATAGTCTCGCTAGCACGTGCATCGCCTTTGCCAAGTAAACGAAGCAATCGCAAGACTTTGACCTGCAAGAACGGGTCTGTGATACCAGAGACATCGTGCTCGGGGCTGTATCCAGTGGTGACCAAGGCTTTCAAGTTACGAACAAGTAGCGGCACAGCCTGTGAGCGTGTGGATAATCTACGATGACAAACTTGCTAGCACAAGAGAAAGAACTTACATTCCGGAATTCGTTTAGACAATTCTCGTCGATCTGACACATCTCGGTTGTAAGTGTTATGGCTGTTAGTAGTACGCCATGGTTTCGATCAGTGAGAAGATTCTTGGCTTTTGAGATAAAGTGATCGGTAAGGTCGGGAACCTTCTTGATGACGCGAAGAGCACATAAGGCAGCCTGAAGTACATTCCAGTCTTTAAACACAATGTGAATAGGGAATGTACACACCTTTTTGCGAATGTAAGTGTTACTTGAGCCCAAAAGCTTCTCTATTTCATTTGCCAAATCTCGCGACATTTCCTCCGAAGCTATGTTCGCGAATGTGCAGAGTCCTAAACCAACGACATACATATTTGAATGGTTCATATCACTGCAAGAGTAAATTCAAAAATAGCGGATCATAAAATATGACACATACTTCTTCAACGAGTTGGTAACGAGAGTTAGGACCTCTTGATTCTCGTCCAAAAGTAACATGATACCCAAATATCCCAGGCGTTTATCCGTAAATCGGGGGCTCGCGACCAGTTTCAGACATTCTATCTGACCGAAATGGGCGGGCGACCCCAACATGTGGATATACAACAGTTTTGCAATATTGTTATGTCGCGCATACACATCTTCCTCTCTGAACGATGCCCGGATGGCGGCTGATTCCTGCTGGATAAGGGCCCGCTCGTCTGCGACGGTCTGCAAGGGTCTAAGGTGATTTCAAGGCCGTGAATTTGAAAGATCTACCTTGCAAGCCCTTATTCCTTTTATCAAGGCTGTCTGAATGCTTCAGTCAACGGTTCCAAGCCATATTTAGTATCACTCACCCTTGAGATTATGGTACACCATGGCTGCGCGTTCAAAGCAACTTACCGCAATATTGTACGTTACATATCTAACGTGACGTTTGTGACTGTGACGTAACTCTACATCGCATCCATGGCGATGAGAATAGAAGTCTCAAGAGTCAAGAGTCAAAATGCCATTTTTACTTTCTTTGACTCCCAAGTTCAAAATACAAGAAAATACCAGCGGTATAAACTGCTCCAAGATAACTAGGTATCCGTCGAGTTGTAAAGTACGATTAATACTCAGTTTTATTCGCGACTTGGTTCATTCATGCCGGGGAACAAAGTGTATCACAAAATAATATAAGTCGGACAGGTGGTAATGACCTCCTGGATATACACACTACCCCAACGCACCTTGTTTGCGTTCAGCATGCCTTGTATACACTTGCGAAATCACAGCTTTCTGAGCTCCAAAAAAAGGGTGAGTAATCACCAGATCAGGCATCGAGAGGTTGAAGAGGGGTTTCACAAAAGAAATTCAGGTTCTCAGATCGAAGGAGATCTCATATAGGAACGAACTCATATGGTTCTCTCTCGAGTCTTGAACCTGAATTCAGCGAGCGGACCCAAACAGGAGTAAAATTTTCGCCTTAGCTGGTGACTGCCTGGCTTGCACCAATGAAATAAATGAGTCGGACAGTAGGAAGTCGATAGAAAGAAAGTACAACCATATTCTGATGATCATGGTACAGTTAAAACCAGCCTGTGATCTCAGCAGGCTTTGATGATAAAAAATCCTTTGATCAAGTTGAGTGGGCACTATGTTCCAGTCTGAACTGAAATCGGGGGGCGTGGCTGGTGAAGGAAACAGCCATGTTCGCACGCCGACGTAAACGAGTTCAGACCGATCGGGGTTGCCAGAACTTGGTTCGGTGAATAGATATCCCTCGTGGATATCGAACTCAGTAGTAGATGAAGACGTAGGTCGAGTTGCTGGAAAACATCAACGATATCGGCAGAATAGAGTCTCGAGAACTGGAGACCGACTAAGAGATCAATACAAACTAGTCCATAGCCTAGACAGAGAAAAGCGATAGGTGCCGGCGAAGAAATGACGGACAAAGAGCAGTCAGAGGATACATCAGAGAGTGAGACGCTCCTCGTGCTCAAATTAAAGCCCAATCTTGCGAGAGCAAGAGTCGTCCATCCAAATTGCATCCTGAAGCTTGATTATCTTGTACCAAGTAAGCAGATTAAACTCATTCCATCGAATACCACAGAGGAAGTATCGCAGTATTGATGCCCCGAATAGAAATCATAATTGTGAAAGAGCTGAATTCGTGTGTCCATTACAGATTGCGCCTCGTAGAATGGAGATGAGCTAATGACCGCAAAGCTGCCATCAGAGGAGTGCTCAGACAAATTAAAGTGCGATGTTCGGTCGAGTGATGTCCAGAAAGTCAGACGAAGACATAGTGGAGCGTGACGGTGCTGATCCAAAGGATAGCATTTTTGTAAGGATCATCGTACAAAGCACGTGGACCGGTTTGGTCCACGGTAAACTGCCGGCCGAGTACCCCCAAAGCCAAAGCAATACTTGAAGGGGACAACATAGAAATGAATTGGGTAAGTGAGATTGTCAAAATGTGGTTTCGGAGTTTGACCATGAGATCGACATGCATAGGTTGTGCGGGGGGAGTCGGTGAGGAAAGGGGGCAAGACGGTCCTCTCGCTCGAATCGGCTGGCAATATCTGAGTTTCACCAGTTTACTGATGCTCCTCAGCCTTCGTCCCATCGAATACTACAAGGTATATGAAATTGGAGGTCAAAACGAGGGAGGCAAGTGACAATAGAGAGAAAAGAAGGTTGTGTCAAATGGGGTCCCTATATATGTCACCATCAACGGCAATTGCCAGTGTGACTGTGTGAGACGTTGAGGCAGTCTTGAATGGAGTCATTTCAATCTTGACCAGGGACTCACAAGTGAGATACATGATCTACGAGGGCGAGATTCGAGTACCTGTGAGGGTCATTCTAATAGTAACAAGTTCACGTGCATGTTCAACATCATGATGTTTGTGATGTGATTCGGCGAACTTGCTGAGAACGGAAGTCAGGCACTGCTGAAACTCAACTTTATTTGGATTTGTGACAGTTTAGGAGGAGTGCTGCGATACACTGCCATGGCCAGTCACATTGATTCGAAGCAAAAGATAGAATTAATCTCATGACAATGTTTAATGTCCTTATTCCGGGCCATTGACTGCTACGTTCCTTCCTTGCTTACATGTAGGACGGTCACTGCCGACCAAGGAGTGGCAACTCCACCTTGAAGATATCAGTTTGACTGTGAAATATCTTGATCAGTACTGTAACGATCCTCCAATAAAATCAGCCATACGAAGAATTTCTGGTGACGCTGCGCCCCAGCATTTTCAATTGACTCGATCTCCTCAGCTGTCAGCCGCGGAACGTTGGCTGTATCGAGATACTCTCTCATCCTATCCGCCTTGCTCGAAGTGCTGCCAGATAGATACTACGTGAGCTGATGACAGCACCCAAAACGAACGAAACTTACGTCACGACCAAAATGCCATTCTGCTCCAACCACTTGTTGAGCACATGTCCAACTGACACAGGCTCTCCTCGAGTAGATTCAAGACGTGCCCGGATTTTCTCGATTACGGGATCCAAGGGTCCTCCTGGTGCGCGGAAGAGTGGTGATAGGCCACCGAAAGAGGACGTAACAATATTGTGTTGTTTATGGAAGGCGATCACAGGTTGTAAAGACTTCCACACATACGGATGAATCTCAACCTTTCAGGGGCTCGTAAAAAACAATACTGAAACTGGTACGATGGCTTACCTGGTTGACCGAAGGTAGAAACTCAGCACCCTCCAAGATCTCTTCTAAGTGCTCGACTTCAAAATTCGATACTCCAATAGACTTCGATAGTCCTTCCCTCTTGCACTCCTCCATCGACTTCCATACCTCCTTCAGCTGGCCTGTATGGTGTCCGGGCACGTGCACGAGGTACAGATCCACGTAATCCAAACCCAGCATCTTAAGCGATACCTGCAGCGCGCTCTTGGCAGTCTGGTCAGGCTGCAGACGATGTAACTTAGTGGTGACGAAGAGCGCGGAGCGCGGCATGCCGGACTCCTTGATGCCGGCGCCCAAGCTTTCTTCGTTCTCGTACATCTGGGCACCATCGAGGTGCGTGAAACCGTTGGCAATGGCAGTTGTGACAGCGTTCTGTGCATCTTGCTGGAACAACGCCGTGCCTGTGCCAAATGCCATCCAAGGGACTTTATTGCCGTCGTTGAGGGTGAGTGTAGAAATCGACATGCTGTCTGTGTAAAGTGAAGGTAAAGTCAATGAACTGAAGTGATAGCACTTATACCTTCAGAAGGGCGCCATATCTATCTATTGCACATAGATGGGACTCCGCAATGCTAGCTCGACCGGAGGTCCGTCACTAAGCTAATACTACTATCTCCTATCTGCTTTGATTACCAAGCTTTTTTGGAATGCAGCCTCATGCACATAACTATCTTTATACACCCATTTCCGCCATCTGCCTTGAACCGTAAAGAGAGGTGGATAAGAAGGCTGCAAGAGAGATAACAAAATAATAAGCAGGAAGAGACCATTGTACTAGAGCTACTGTATGGCTGGTCAGCCTATATTGTATTCTTCTTCGATGACCAACCGTTTGTAACAAGATGTCATTCGTGTCAGTGCATGGTCCAGGAAGAGGTCGAATGAGATTGACAGTGACAATCTGCGCCAGAATATTTTCGGAGTCATCAAAATAGGGTTTCGAGAAACGGAGAGATCGAGAGAATCCAATCTGAGGTATCATAAAGCATGAAATTCATCGAAAAAATTACCTGGCTGGCTCGATGGCGGAATCCAACGAGATTCGTGATGTATCAGGATCCCTGACAGAACATAGCCGGATCCAAGTGCCCCAGATGGAAGACGTGAAATGCAAATGAAGACATTGTGACGAATGGTGTCCGTTCGAAATTGCACTGACCGCCGAATATCATTCTCGCAAAGGGGCCCGTCAGGAAGGAATATTGAAATGTTCAATCGAGTAATATCCAATACATCACGAACAAAGTAGGGACGAAAAAAGGCACATGAGGAAGTATAGTTGATCCACTTAGAAAGCACAAATGAAGGTAACTCGCGGGCTAACTTGAGAGAGGCATGTTGGAAGGGACCGCGAGAGGCTTTAAAAGTGGTCGGTGTATAGCGTGGTTTTGGTAAAAGAAACGAAAATTGACATGCGTGTTAGGCAAGAGAATCCAATCAATTCTTGAACAAAAGCCACGAGGGATTTAAGACTTCGTAAATACCCACAGGAGTGAGACGGATCTCACGTCCAAACTCAAGCAAGAAACCTCGTGAGAGTGAGTCTAGGTAGTCGAAGTCGCATATTCCAGATTTGTTAAAGCGTACATTTTCGTGGTTCGGCGTCGTCCAATCGAATGCCACATGAAATTGGCAGTCAAAACCAGTGAAGCAGGTGTAAGTAAAGAGAAAGTCGAATCAAATGACAGCCCGATATACCCATCTTCCATCAAAGCGTGTCAAAGAGAAATATTGGTGTGAACATCTGTGCGGTGTAGACCTCTGAGCCGCGAATGTCGAATCCCACTTGCGTGGTTCCTGCATGGTCCACAGCTGCAATGTTGGTGTCGGCTGAGGCTTTCTGTAAGGGATCAAGCTTGAGCAAGAGCGAAGAAGACTACATGTTAGCGTGCTCAAGCGCTCACGGTTAACGTTTGCCTAGACCCTGCAGAAGAATCTAATTGCATTCAAGCTAAGATCGCGTGAGTGGATGATGAACAAGAGCATTGAATTTTGAAACTCCGCCCTTGGCTGCTCATCACTTTCACTCCTCCTATAGTCTTGCCTGGCCATATCTTTTGTACTTTTTTCTTTCTAAACCGCCATGGCGGATGTTGAACAAGCCGCGAAACCTGTTTCACCTATATCCAACCTGTTACAGAAAATTGGCTTGACCCGTGACGATTTGAGCCGTCATAGCGACCAAATGCGACAATTTTTGACTACTCAAGATGCGAAGTCTCTTCGCGTTTTTTCTGCAGAGTCTGCCGATGCACAACGGAGTATTGCTTCTGTCCTTGGAAAATCTCGCTCCTGCTCTCATTCTAGCTCGAATTCGTGTCAAAACGCGTCTACTGTTTCTCAAACTCCTCCTCCTTGCACGCCTGTCAAATCTGAGCCCGTAGAACCCGCTATCCCGCTCCGTCATATGGACAGCATGGAAATGATCCTCGAGAGAAGGAGCCGAAAAATAAAGCGCGATAAGCGGGGAAAGAAGGACAAGGACCGCAATGCACCTTCTCCATCCCCTGCAAGCACAGCTTTCAGCCTTGACGCGTTCATGCAATCACGCGATTTACGACGCGTTCCGTCTTTGGATCAATCTGATTCCTCTACCAATATAGCTTCATTGGTGTGTACCATCTAAACAGCGCGCCATTTTCGTTGTTGCTGTCACTTACGTACACTGCTGCATTCAAGGACAACCTCGAAGATGAACTCCCTCCTCCTCCTGTCACTCCTCAGCACCACAAGTATTATAGAGATTATGATACCGTAGAGCATCCATCACGTCTTAAAAGGGTATGTTCAGCTTTCAATTTTTGACATCTACAATGAACACAAATTTGCTTCAAGGGTTCTTACACCCCCCGAGACCAGTCACCAACTCCCACGCGCCACCGTTCTTGCTCAACGTTTGATCAATCACATACATCGAGTGTTGCAGACACTTCAAATGCGAGTTTTATCACCCCCCGCCGCAATGCCTATTACAAGTCGCCCCTACCTTCCTCCTCTCCACCACAATCTTCTCCGTTCGCGACGCCTTCTAAACCTATTGTCAACCTAGTGTCATCGCCTGGTCCCATGGGTCCCCTCCCAGATGAAGATGATTACGAAAATCTTCCATATACCCTTCCCCCTGGTCCATATCCTACGAAAAAACCAGATCTCTCCTATGCGGCCCTTATCGGCCAAGCAATACTTTCTTCTCCAGAGCATCGGCTCACCCTGCAGGAACTTTATGATTGGATTACGATCGTGTATCCGTATTATAACCGAAGCGAAACGACGTGGATGAACTCTATTCGTCATGTCCTCAGCACAACCGTGTGCTTCCGTAAGGTTCCCCGTGATCGCAGTGTCGGGCGCACACTCTGGGCAATTTGGGACTGCGATCTTGAGTGCTTCGCTGATGGCGGTTTCAGGAAAGAATTCTGCGCGGAAATCAAGGAAGCCAACAAGAAGACTGCTCCTAAAAAGCGTGCAGCGGAAGAATCAATATCCGGTCGCAAAACGAAACGACAGAGGAAAGGCGTTGCACCTGCACCTGCACCTGCTGAACCGCTGACAAGCTCGCCTGTACAAGAAACGTCGCCTGAATTCGCAGGCTCCACTCTGCCAACCCTTGTATCGTACTCGCAACTCCTTCCTCTTTTTCCTCCTCGTAGTTCTGCCCATCATCAACCTTACTACCAAAACTGTGTACAGCTGCCTGCTGATGTCATCTTTCCTCCCTTACCACCATCATCGAGTTATGCTCGCGCTAGTTCTTCATCATTGCTTCCGTCATCTGCCATCAAGAGCTGTGATGTGGCGCAGATGTCGCCGATTCCCCCTTCATCACTACCCGCTCTCACGCCGAGTAAAAGTTCTTCCAGTCCGCAGCTGTCCTCTGAGGATCACCTCTTTTTTAACCTCGATGGCGGCATGAGCCCTCGCATCGAGTCAACTCCTCCGCTAGAGTCTGGAATTACCCTACTAGATACTGATAGACAAAACTCAAAGGCAAGTTTACCACCTCCCAAAACGCCTCCGAAGGTGCGCAGATTCGTCTTGTCTGTGTTTTGCCTAATTATAGACTGCGTTTATGCAGAAATCCATTGGATTACCTCCTATACCGGTATCCCCTACAGTCGAACGTCGTGGCAAATCCAAGAAAGCCAGGCCACTTGCTAAAGAATGTATTCCGGCCATGTTGCCAACTTCCACATCACACCGACCTATGACGCCCCCTCCCCGTCCTTCAACGCCTCCTCGCAGGGGTGGCAGCAACACTGTACAACTGTCACCCATTCGCACGCCCTTATCTCATAAAGGCCTCCACATGAGTCCCTCCGCAAGCCTTGCTCATTACAAATTCAATCTGGACCCACCACCCTCTGCCACCTTCCGCCCGGATGACGGGATTAACCCTGCTGTATTTGATACCGAGAATATTCGTACACCGTCGCGCAAGCGCGGCACGCAAGCACATGGACATCATCATAAAGATACCTCGATCTTGTTCCCGCCTGTAACGCCCAAGAAGCTGGTCTTTCCTACGCATAATTCCTCTGCAGAGTCGCCTTTCCGCACGCCTGGATCAAAGTCTATATTTGATCCACATGATCCAGGGGCAATCCTCGATGAGGAGCTGGCGCGGCTTGGCGCAAAAGGAATGCATGAAAGCCCGATTGGACTATTTGAAGGCCGACGCGGTCTGTTGTACGAGAGCCCGAATGTGCCGAGTCCGGGGAAATGGGCTCGGTGGTTCTGAGACGTGTTTGATCTCGTTCTGTGAGCTCGATCTTGTTTTCATGATTACGAGTGTATTGTATCCGCAACTTGTTGTTGTTTCGTTCTACTTGTGTATCTTATGTTTCACTTTGGCAACTTACTGTTAGGTTATCGGGTTCTTGTCATCCTCGTTATGTTATTTGTTGTCTCTGCTGAAGTGTCTTGTGAAGAGTTGCATCTCCATTTACTGTGATATGTTGCCAGCTAGTAGAATACATATGACGAATAGAAGATGAAAGAGTGTGTTGCATATGAGACTGCAGTGAGTTTTTCCAGAAACACGCTAACATTTATTTTTGTAAATTCGTTGAATGATTTTACAGCTTGACGGTGGCAGTGCGAGAAATTGTGTGTTGTTTATTATGTGATTTGTCAGTTGTCGTTTTGTGATCTGAAGGAACCGTCTCTCTGAAATTTGCCTGCCGTCGTATAACCAAGAAATACGTCTATCAGCTGTGCATAATCGCGTCTGAATTTTCATGGTTGCAGCTTCGTCGTTGTCTGCTTTCTCGTTATCGTCTTTGCTTGTGCCTCCCGTTTTGCTGGTAGTGTCAGATCAGGATCTCCCTGATGGTGGGTTGTCCGTTGTGTCTTCCTGCGTTTTACGCAAGTTCTTTGAGAGTTTTAAGGTATTTAAAGCTAGACGAGCAAATCGCGATCAGTATCCGGTTGGATGCGTGTTGCGTCGTGGAGAATTTTCCCTACATGACTCGTGACGATAATGCCACCATCGCCCGCGCACACTTCATTCGTGTTCAGGCATCCGATAGGAAGGATTACTTGCGTGGCATGCTACGACTGCACGCATGTGATGCTGGGAGCTGACAATTGCCCTAGCAATATTTGGTGCATCAGGTTATGCTTGATTATATTCCTGATCTTTCACAGCGACTGAGCACTCAAACCTCTTGCGGCGAATAACGATACAACTTAGGCACCATCGAAGTTGTGAAGGTAATGCTGGTTACAATGATTGGGATGACGCTTTTCCGATTTTGATTGTGTCAACGTGCATCTTATGCTCGTGAAGAACTTTGAGCATTTCAAGCACCTTCGAGTTTATTTGAAATTTATGAACCGGTCTTCGTCAGGGGATTTTTCTGCCAGTCACTGCTTCCAGTGTGTCAAAGGGAAGGTGCCTGTTACACCCATTCTGCTGCTCTGATTCGTTGGTTTGCTTTCGCTCTCGTTATTGTAGATCATGAACTTCCAGGTGACGGAAGTTCCATTGTGTCAACGAGGGCCATGTTGATTACTAGCAAACATTGGGCGCTGAGCAGGGAAGGAGGCGAGGGATTTATTACTAGTACTTAGCCTGAGGATGACTCGCCATATGTGGTTCCAAGTAGAAGACGACTGTAACCCTCCGTATTCTTTTTGCACTCGCGTCCAAATGTAGTCAAGCGTGCGGAAGTAATAAGGTACTGCAACCAAAAATCTTGATCGATGATCAGTTGGCTATCCACCGCCCGACGCTCTATTAATAGGTATATCACTCCTACCAGTGGTTCACGTCGACAATGGTGGGCTGGTGAGATGGCTCAGAGTTTTGAACTTGTCTTCAAAGGTTTCTCAGTCCACAGGTTCGAAACCAGTCGCAATCTTCAGTCATAGTAACAGCGTCTATGGTGCACAGTCGGTGTTGCCAAGGTTTAGACAGGTCATCACTAGTTTAACGGTGAAGCTATTCCGGTTTGGAGGTATCGCCTTTATCTTTCTCCGTTTTGAACACCGCGTTGCTTAATTATGACAGCTACAAATGATGGGGTAGGACTGCATATGGCCACTTTCCTCCATGGCGCCAAAAATTGCAGTTCTTTTTTTGGCTGCGAGCTAATTTGGTCCACATTATTTATTCTACTAAAGCTAGTGTGCACAGTACTGCGACAACTACAGGAGAGGTTAGTGAGCCTTGTCATCTGCAGTAAGCTGTTGTCTGCGTCTAAATTCAACACCAGCATCGCTGATTCGTCATTCTTGATCGTTACTGAGAATGAAGGCACATGTGTGCTTTTTCAGGATTCCGACTGGTCACTGCCTGATTCCTCAGATTTTGTCTTCCGTCGCACAGCGACGACATCGGTTAGACTGTCAAAAATCTCCATGATGACATTGATCTTTCACAAATATCTCACAGATCAGTTCCACTACACGAATAGTTTGACCATTAGCTCCCTTCCAGCGTACCACCCCTTCTAGACAATTCTAGTCTGTTTCTCGCACAACATGCTTGAGCAGCACTAGCCAGCTACATTATTTCTTTACTTTGCTCGAAGAGTTTCTTTGAACTGATGTGGTAACCTGACATTCGCAGTGCTATAGGACATCTACGGCCGCCTGGCTGTTCTGGCTGTTCGGCTTATTAAATGTCATTCAAGTCATGGTCTCGTGACGCAACTGTGGTACGCCACCATTCTCCAATGCAACACGTAGTTGCTAATTCCAAGGGCAGTACACTGTTGAAATTCAGATGTCCTGGCCGCTGTGGGTTGGCTGAGCAACTTTTTATGGAGTGATCCCACGCCGGTCGTCGTCAATCGGGGTACAGCTGCTTTGAACAGGGATATCCTCTAGGCTGCTGCTGCAAGATAAAAGCTGAGAGAGGTATGCGTCTTTCATCATCATTTTATTATACATCCCACTACTTTCCCGGGTACGAGCACTACGGCCTATCGCGAATAACCACGATGTTGACTCCTATTTTAATCGCTTCTCTCCTTGCATTGATCAATGCTGCATCTATAGTATCTCGCTCACAGTCTTACCCTCAGCCCCATGTACTCGGCCCCCAAACTACAATAACCATAGGTAATAAGGACATCGCTCCCGATGGCTTCGCGCGCTCGTGAGTTTATTGCCCCGGCACTCCTCGAGCTCATTCCTGATCATTAACAGTGCAACTCTTGTCAATGGTATATTCCCTGGACCCTTGATTGCAGCTCAGAAGGTGAGCTTCCGTCGACCTCCTTGTCGTGCACCAGTGCTGACCTCACAACAGGGAGATAACTTTTCCATCCAGGTAATCAACGAGCTCACGGACGAGACGATGTTCAAGAGCACCAGTGTCGTAAGCAGTAGCAATCACCGACACTTTTATTAATTAACACCGTCTTCCGCAGCACTGGCACGGTATCTTCCAGAATGGGACGAACTATGCCGACGGGACGTCCTTCGTCACACAATGTCCCATTGCACAAAACCACTCTTTTGTACACAATTTCTCCGCCTCGAACCAAGCGGGTACTTACTGGTATCATAGTCATTATTCCGTCCAATATGTAAGTAGGTCTCGCATTTTACGCATGCAGTGGAGGATTGACCTATGAAACAGTGCGATGGTCTGAGGGGAGCCCTGGTAATCTATGATCCCAATGACCCTTTGGCATATATGTATGATGTCGACAATGGTAAGCGAATAATCACTTCATACTAGCCATCTGACATCATTGGTACCAGCAAGTACTGTAATCACACTTTCCGACTGGTGAGTTTAGGTACGTTGGTAACGTACCTGATTAAAGCAGTGTCACTAGGTATCACGTTGTGGCCCCCGTCTTGCGCCACATCATAGGTACAGAGGCCAACTCTACCCTTATCAACGGACTGGGTCGTTATGCAGGCGGACCCGCGTCTGATCTAGCTGTGATAAGCGTTGAACAGGGAAAGCGATATCGCATGCGGCTGGTTGCAATGTCCTGCGACTCCAATTTCAACTTCTCCATCGATGGCCACATCTTCACCGTAATTGAAGCGGATGGACAGCTGACTGAACCACTGGTTGTAGATCAGCTCCAGATTCTTGCGGGTCAGCGCTACTCTGTGGTTCTGGTAGCCGATCAGCCGGTGAACAACTACTGGATACGCAGTCTTCCTAATTTGGCCGATTCGTCCTTCGAGGGAGGAATGAACTCTGCTATATTGCGCTACCAAGGTGCTCCGCAGGTCGACCCGATCACGGTCAATACACCAGCCCAGAACCCATTAGTAGAGACCAACTTGCACGCTCTGATCAATCCCGGTGCTCCTGGCATTCCAGGATATGGGAACGCAGATATCAATCTCCACTTCGACGTTACCAATAACACCGGATCGTTCTATCTCAATGGTGTCTCATTCAAACCCCCCACTATTCCTGTTCTACTCCAAATTCTCAGTGGAGCTCAAGATCCGCTTCAGCTGCTTCCAAATGGGAGTGTATTCGTTCTAGGAGCTAACAAAGTGGTGGAGTTGACATTGTCAATAACACCAACCAATGTTCCAGGTGGACCTGTGCGTCTTTTCCTTTCCTTCGATGCTCATGTGCCTGATTTATATTGTACTGGCAGCATCCCATACATCTTCATGGGGTAAGTTCACCTTGCCCTCATTGTCATGTTTCATTGGTACTAATAATGGTCATTAGCACGCATTCGATGTCGTACAGAGCGCAGGAAACAGTACCTTCAATTATGTGAACCCAGTTCGCCGCGATGTGGTAAGCGCTGGCAACCCTGGGCAGCAAATGGTGATACGATGGACGACCGACAATTCTGGCCCGTGGTTCTTGCATTGGTATGTTATTTTTCTTGAGCCATCAAGAACGGCATTAACTCTGGAGTCTGGATCAAAAGCCACATTGATTGGCACCTTGATGCGTATGTTTGTGAACATCCTCGTGAAAAAAAACGACTGATTATTCGCATACAGCGGTTTTGCCATAGTAATGGCGGAGAGTCCTTTGGACACCGCTGCACATTTGAATCCCGTACCACGTAGGTCGTAATGAAAGAGACAGCATTTTCATGGCTGAATTGCTTCACAGAGGAATGGGATAAGTTGTGCCCGACCTTTCAATCTTTAACACCCACTCAGTTGGGTGGTGGTGGTCGCCTCTCCTGGGAAGAAGCAGCTAGTATTACCACTCTCCTCTTCCCAGAAACACCCCTCCCCGGGTATAAAGATAGTAGATGACATCATAATCATTTTCGTTTCTCGGGGAACAGGTTCGTGGATTATGGGACCTACGTCACCCAAAACATAGCCATTTTTGGGGTCTCAACATTTGCCACATTACTCTCCAGCATAATCCTCCCCACCACCATACCACATTCACCCATTTACTGCAGTATTAGTGTGAATGATTTATATTTAATAGGGATCACTATAGAACCCTTTTTTATTTATTTTTGTCCCAATAGTACAAGTTCTAGAGACCTGTACATATGATACAGGAAAAATAATATCAATTAAAATAATTTTAGTGCTGTGGTCCAGTTCAGTTTTTTTGGAGTCCAAACCTGAACCTAGACTAGTGACCCAGCCCTGCTATAACTACTAATTAGGTTCAGTTTGGTCAGAAGTGAAGCATTTTTTTATTCACTGCTTTAATCTGTGATACAAATTCAATGATTGTCTCCACACATGGACCTCGCACACAGTGCTGTAATGGGCACTCAACGAGTGATGGAGTGGACAAGGTGTGCAAGAAAAGAGAGGCCTGAAATGGTGTTGATTCAACAAAGAAAATGATACAAAGCCCCAAGCCACATATAAGTATCTGCTGTAGTGATAGTGTAAGGTGAAACCACTATCAGTATAAGTGTCAATCTTGACATTGAGTCCGTAACTATCCGAGTGAGTTGCATCAGCAAACTACTGGGTGCCTGTACAGATTTGTACAAGCTTGTACAAGCTTGTACAGACTCACAGAACCCACTGCTAAGTCCCCCCTTTGCAGGTTTGTACAATAGGCCTACAAATTGTACAGTATTTACAATATGGACAAATAAGCAAGGATGTACAATTTAAACATGTTGCACACACTGTGCAGAAAGCACATTTTGTATGAATGGTATTAGTTGTACTGCGGGAACATGCTATACAGGCAAGCACACAAAAACCCAGACTCCTACCCATCGGCAGTGTGTTGAGTCTACATCTGAGTGCCGCCACACAAACCAAATACAAACAACAAACATTCAAAGACCACAACTTTGGACTCTAACACACTTGGCTGACTGGCACAAGTTGTTGTGGTGCAAAGGTTGCAACTGTTTGTCCCTCCAAAAAATACCTTCAAAATAGTTGCCAGTGCACCCGGGCGTGACATGGGCGTATTTGAATAAACCTTTAATATAATTGTTATTGAAATATAATATTGGGGCTGACAGTAATGACACGGTACTTGAGTTTTGCAATGTTCTATCATGTATAGCAAGCATCAGTGCAGCTAGATTCAAATGATATATACCCACATTGAAAGTTTCATCGGTAGCATTTTCTGTAGAAAGATTGTAGGCCGGGGAAGCCCAGTGTTTTTGCTTCGTTATGAGTTTTCTCACCAAGAATATTCAGAGGTGTCACTATGAGAATAATTCCATTGTTGTTGAATAGAAGGGGGATCCAGAACATGAACATTTTGCCTGAGCCAGTTGGAGAAATAGTAAAGACATCCTTCTTCTCAAGCTGATGCAAAGCTGACTGAAGTTGCCAAGTAGTACAGGGGGTGATACTGAATTTACTGTGAATGATCATCTTCATATCAGTCAAATTTGGTACTTTGAATTCACACACCGACATTGTAATGCTTAAGGGTTAACTCAAAAGAACTAAAATGGACTCGGATATGTGTTGTGTCACAGAAGGTCACACTGTTAAATAAAACACTAGGTGACTATTTCGAAGGTATTTTTTGGAGGGATAAACAGTTGCAACCTTTGCACCACAACAACTTGTGCCAGTCAGCCAAGTGTGTTAGAGTCCAAAGTTGCGGTCTTTGAATTTTTGTTGTTCGTATTTGGTTTGTGTGGCAGCACTCGGATGTAGACTTAACACACTGCCGATGGGTAGGAGTCTGACAAAAACCATGCAAATGACATCACAATTGTCAAACTAAACTAAACATCAAGCATTGAACAGCGCATTAAAGTATGATATTGATGTCCCCCATGTCACTGCCTGCATCACTCCCATCCAAATGCCAATCAGATCCACCCATCCAATCTTAGCCCATTGCACTGACATTTCTTCAAGCTCTTCACAATATTCCAGAATGTCGAGCAACTTGTCAACATATTTCTGCAACTTGACAAAGTCAGCCCTGCATCTATCAGTGGAGAGTTTGGGAACCTTGTCGGTGCTGGTTTTGCTGAACCCAGTAATAACACCCTTCACCTATTCAATTATTAGTGACAACAAATAAAATAAAATAAAATATATAGTGTACAACCACTGCTACGAGAATGAGGCCATTGACAGGAATTGTCCGGTGGAAGTCATCCATGTTCCTCAGCACTTTCTTGCTGTTGCTGTAGAAAAACTCGATACAAATATCCTTGAGAGCCTGTGATACAAAATTCTTAAATTTGCCCTGCAAGAGAAAACAGTGAGTAGTGCTAGTGACATGAGTCATCACCTACATTAGATGAGTCAGGAATCTGAAGGTAATCACCAGTTTTGAGCAGCTGCAACGACACATTTTTTGATCTCTTCTGATCGCATCCCGGTGCCCTTCAGGAAAATATCATATGACTGCTTGGTAATGGAGATAACAGTCTTTTTAAGCTCTGTACAGAATGTGAAGAGATCATCACAGAGCTCATCAGCATGTCAGCGAGCATGTTCACCATTAATAAATGAAAGACTCACCAGCCAATACATCTGTGGGCTATACTGTGGAAAGTAGCCGTGCAATAAGATGTGAGATGATTGGGAGAAAGCGGCAGTACAAGGAGAACTCACCCTGCACAAACTTGAGCTTCTTCTGGTGACTTGCCCACAATTCGGCATCCAGGACTTCTTGCGCAAGTTTCAAGGCATCCTGGTGTTCTGGAATTAGATGGGAGAGAACAGCTTGCAATTGCATCTGTAACTTTGCTGCCTGCAGAAATCCCTGCCAACAAGGCAGATAAAACCCAAGCTTGGAAGGTTTGTCTTAATGTTTTGTGTGAGGCGAGCATCAGTGGGTGTAGTGCTATGAGAGTGGGAATGACTAGGAGTCGTTGCATGATCAGAATGAGTCCACGATGGAGAGTGTCTATGGGAAGAGGGTTGCATACGACCATGAGAGGAAGTGTTTGGGGAGTGCCGATGTTGAGTATGCAAAGAAGCCTGTGTTGATATTACATGCTGATAAGAGCTTTGGTGTCGAGACCTGGAGTCAGTAGAAGAATTATGCGAGGAAGGTGGCACTTGAATGGAGGAGGCACCCACAGATGGCACACGTTGGCGAGATCCTGAGTGATCATGACATTGAGATAGGCACGAACGAGAAGATCTCGAATTGTTGTAACATTGAGATGGGCGTTGGTGAGGAGACTTAGAGTGAGTGGAGGCACATGTGCATGCTTTTCCTGTCGCTTTTGAAAGATATGATGGTGAGGGAGCCTTGCGTCATCCATTCTGTGCTTGATGATGTTTGAGAACATCATAAGTCTCCTGCACACAAAATCAATGAGTGAATATGAGTGAAAACGAGAGGATACATTATCTTGGCCCTCCATATTCATAAACTCATCCTCCCAGTCACGTTCTTGACCTAAATTGCCTCTCTCCCCTTCATCTAAGTCTCCTTCATTGTTATGGCCATCTTTGAATGATGCACCTGAGCATCAATCAAAATTCTTGCTGTTGATATGCTGATCTTGCTCAGCTTCATCCCTGTAATGAATGCATTAAGAAGCTGAATGCAAAAAAAGGCTAGCACTTGCGTATCGTATCATTGTGCTCATGAAGGTCAGTACGTTTATGCAAGTTGCACATGGATTCTGTATCATTGTTGTCATTGTCCTTATCTTCATTGTTGTCATCATCTCATTCATCTTCCTCCTGTGCAGCCATTCTGCGGTTACTGGACTGAGGCACGTTCTTGATGCGCTGCCTGGTAGTAGATGTGGGTGCCTTAAACCCAAACCTGTCAGAAGAGCAAGCAGTACATAGCACTGGATGGGGGGAAGTGTACACTGGAGCCCCTTCAGTGACAAATTCCATATTATACAGGTCACCTGACCTACATAATATCCCGTATAAGATGGGCCAGCGGACTATGGGCTGATGTTATGTATATCCCCGATGTTGACGGATGGGCCGGGAGGAATATTATTTCCAATGGAGACGGGTGGGCCCATCTATGCTGATATTATATATATCCTCGAAGATGTTGGGTGGGCTGATGTAATGGTTTATTGTATAGATGGGTGGGCCGACATACAGGAATTATTTTGTACGTGGGTGGGCCGACATACTGGAATTATTTTGTAGACGGATGGGCTGAGGGAGTGGTGGAATATTCATTATATAGATGGGTGGGCTGAGGTAGTGAGATATCTGTCTGACATTCACAGATTACCGAGTCCCAGATGCCCAAAAACCGAATCCCATTGTGCAACATCCCACCCGAACACCCAAAGCTCGAGACTGGAAACTGGAAACTTGTGAAAATGTGTGAAATTTCTATTTCCTTACACCAAACACATGAACACCTGAACACCCAAAGCCTGAAGCTTGAAAGTCCATTTATCAAATCACTGAGTGCCTAGTGCTGATAAACCCGAAGCCTGAGACCCAAAATCCGAAGCCCAGAACCCAAAAACATGTATGCAACATGTGCATTTTTCATTCATTGCACAAATCACCGGAGTACTGGGCATCCATGTTTAACACGCTATCCATCATTTCCAATCGTCAAACCCCATATCATCGAGACCATTTATCAATTCCTGAATGCTTTGATATTCTCACCACTGTGGGGAATTATTCTAATGCTCAGATGAGCATGCCAAGCCTTCAGCTGGAGTTCGGGTACAATCCCGGGTGTATGATTGGATTTTCCGGAAGGATTGTCAGACATGGGGTTCATGAGGTGGAGGGGGATAGGGTTGGGTGGGCATGGTATATGAGGGACTCTGTTCATATTTATGCTGGGGTTCCCTCATGCGGATGGGCTAGGGTGGATTGACAAACCCTACCACCATGTGGAAGATGAAACAAGTAGAAAGTGTAATTACCCGCATCAGTACCTGCTTTCGACTACCAAGTATGAACTGTCTCTCTTGATGACACTCAAGGTCCGAAATCCATAGCAGATGCATACAATAACTGTCCAGAGCCTTCCGTGTCTCTTGATGACACTCGAGCACCAACACATTCAGCGCGAGGGAGTGGGGTTTCAGTTGTGGTGCGCAGTTACAAAAGGCCGGCCCTGGGTTGGAGTAGCGCAGACAATATCATCAACCTTACATTAGGCAATGCTAAGAAGAATGGTCTGTTGCAAAAGGAACCTACAAGTCAAAAGGGCACAGAGAAGCAAAGAAATGTAAGTATGAATGCTGCTGTACAAATTTGAAAATGGTACTGGGGCAATGGCTATCATTGTATTTAGACTCAGATCCTATCGACAGTCATCAAGGCCAGGAGCTCAGTAACCGGGTCTCGGCACTTGGGTCTTGATATTTGGACCTCGGTAGTTAAATGCCAGGAGTCGGGAATTGGTAATGGAGATCCGGAACTCGAAGTTCGATATTCAGCAGTCAACATTCGGCACTCGACACTCGGACCTCAGAACTCGGTACTCAGCACTCAGACCTCAGAACTCGATATTCGGAGCTCGGTAATCGGGTCTCGGCACTTGGGTATCGATACTCGGACCTCGGTAGTTATGTTCCGGGAGTCAGGAGTCGGTAATGGAGAATCCGGAACTCGGAGTTCAATATTCAGCAGTAAACATTTGGTACTCAATGCTCAGTACCCGACATTTCGGAACTCGGTCATCGGGACTCGATATCCGGAACTCAGAGTTCAATATTTGGAACTCGACACTCGATATTCGGACCTCGGTAGTTAAATTCTGGGAGTCAGGAATTGGTAATGGAGATCCAGAACTCGGAGTTCGATATTCGGCAGTCAGCATTCGGTACTTGACACTTGGTACTCAATGTTCAGAACTTGAAACTCGATATTCAGAGTTCAGTAATGGGGTCCTGGTAATTGGGACTCGATATCTGGACCTCGGTGGTCAGGACATGGTGATGCACATCTGCACCATTTATTTCGGGACTCACCATATAACATCATGTTAGATATTGCAATGTTTACAAGTGATTTTCAGTACTCATAAAACACATATGCAACTTGCACTTCAACATTTCCAACTGAGTGACTAGAGCTACTCTCCTCTGCCTCTCTTCAATGTCCAGCATGGCAGTGTAGATTTGTATCTCTGCCATCTTGTCACAGATGCCCTCACGTTGCTCTTCAAGTAATGTCAGGAGGTGTTCTCTAATCCACCTCAGTCCCATCAGTGATGGAACTGAGGTATGATCCACCTGCTCTGGAATTGTCAGACCATCATTCTCAATGCCATCCTAGAGCAGATCAGTCATGAATCAAGGAAATGGAATAAGAATCTTACTAGCCAATGCTGGTAGTGAAAGATACAGCAAGTCATCACCTGATCCCATTGCCATGGTTCATTTGGGATTGCAGTTTCTCCCATCCACCATGGGGTATCATAGCCGGATACAATCTGGGATGGATCTCCAGGATCTGCGACGTCATGAAACAAACAGATGTGATAGGAAAAGATGTGATCTGGAACCGTGTTCCAGGTGTGACCGGGAATCAAATGAAGAATATGAGCAATAGGGCTGGGAATGACCGAAATAATGTTCCTGGCAGCTGAGTACTGGAGGATGGGTGTGACAAAAGTCTGTGGAAGATGTCAGCATTAACCGCCAGTGTTGTCAGGGTCTTACAGTGATCTCCCATTGCAGCCCAGCTTTGAAGTGCCTGATACAAGCCAAAGGGGGAAGATTGTTGTTTGCAGCCTCCGCCTGATATTGGGAGATGGATGCACGGATGCGTGATGCAGACATTGACATAGTAGCTGAAATGTCTGCAGGAGTGAGAGTGAGGGGCTGGTACTCATTGAGGGAATTCTCATTGTCAGAAGTGGATGCAGGAGAAGGATATAATTCAGGCATAGCTGATACAGGAGTATCACACTGGCAATGACAATGACAGTTGGTTCAGATGTGAAGATATCATCCACTGATGGATGGATAAATTTTTCAAACTCTGACATGGGCTGACCCGGCCAATTCCCGGGACTAAATTTGTATATTGAAATGGTTGTTATATCCCATCGGCAATAAACCATTCATTCATCTCAGGAATCTATCAAAATGGTCTGCAGGTGTTGAAACGCTGCCTGGGCGTCCTGCGCCAGCAATGAATACATTCGGGATTGCCTTCCGGAGTAGCATGCATGACCCGGAAGTCGTTTCGTGAATGATTCCTGCATCCGGTCGCCCCATTAGGTTGCTTTCCACAAGAAAAAGTTACATGTCCAATCCATCTCGAATTGAACCAACATCAGCTCTTCCTTCCATCAATCCCATAGTGCCTTTTCCCGGAGCCAGTGAACTTGGTAAACTTCATATTCGTTTGGTCAGCTCAACGTCAGACATGTCGAGCATTAGGGAACTCACATTCCTCATTCCATGATTGATCCGGACCATGCATGTCAACCTTGACGGACCAGAACCACACGAGGGATTCATTTTGTTGACCATGGGGCATTTGGATCACCCACAGCAGTGCTGACTTTGAGCTGCTCGCAAAGCAGGGGTTTGTACTTCTGAAGTTGGCCATGCCCCGTGTCAAGTTTCATCATTTGCGTCCTGGTCTTGGTATATATACTCGCATGCAGGGAGACAGCCTGCTGCACTGATGTCACCTGTGACCAGGCTTGAGATTTGGCTTGCCTGACCGTCGTGCAGAATAGGACTGCCTTGTTGCACAAGTGAATGCAGAGGTTGTGAAGTGCATCATTTGCCTGCCCTTCGCAAAGGGACATCTCCAGCAGAATGAGATCCTCTGCCATCAAGCATCTGCATCGATCTACCCCGAGGTTTGATGATGGCAATGGGATCACAATGAGCTTGGGCGAGTTCGTCCATGTATCAGATGTCTCGGTAAAATCTTCTGGGTCATCATCGAGATCATCTAGGATGTCTATGTTCAAGTCGTCATGATTGTCATCTCCATCGAATCCCTCTCTGAGATGCGTGACAGAAGAATGCATAAATCCATCTATCTGGCCTTGGAGACAATCATGTTGCCGGGCGAGGTCTAATCTCTGTGTCTCCGTAGTTCATTTTCAGATTCTTCAGACCTCAATGAGCAATGCAATTTGAGCCTCCTCGATTGCCAACCCCATAGATATCCATGTCACCACAGATCTCCAAGATGGTGCTGCATTACAGGCATTACCCTGCTCTAGCAGTCTAAGTTTGATCTCCTTTTTGCTCGGTGCTGAGTGCAAAATTAATTCGGACTTCTATGGAGACATGGTCAGCTTACCCTTCTTGATATTTATCTCGTAAACATCCATCACCGCAGGATCATTTATTCTGCTGGATTGAGCGATCATCTCGTTGGCCAACCATTTTGTCTTCAAATTGGCGGGTGCTGCTTCATCAAGTCTGTCAACAGCCTTTTCACTTTCGGCGATGCAATTTTTTGCCTGCTTGTATCTACGGCAAAGGGTCCTTTTCATGCGGATCATCTTGCAGAAGTTGGAATCGTTCATCTGAAAATCGAGACATTCCCTGAGCAGTGGGGGAAATTAGGTTCAGACGTGCCCAGCAAGTCTCCATGATCTCTCCATCTATCCGGCAATGCCTTCAATGAAATTTGACGCATATTGGACATAGCAGCTGTCTTGATGTCCATGCATGTGCCACAAACTAATGCTGGGAATGATGGTCAATTCCAGTACCATTTCAAGAAATCGGCTTTGATCCACCAGAATCCGAAGGTGCTTGTTGTATTAACAGTTGTTAGTTGTGTGGTGACTTCACACTAGATAGGTCGAAGACTTCTAAGACTTCGAAGACTTGAAGGACACTTCAAGGACATTACTATATTAGTAGATAACTTCGAGGACTTCAAGGACACTTTGAGGATCCATACCATACTAGGAATTGTTTATATTTGTTTACATAGACTCGCCCATAGTGCAGAGTTTACAAGTCTTACATGCTTCGTGCATTGACTTTGAACTCTCAGGTATAGTACTTTACTTATTTACACAATAATATCAAGTGCATTGACTTTGAACTCTCAGTTATTCTAACACATCTGTCTATAGAATATTCATGTCCATTGGCCCACTCATCTACTCTACATATTCCACACATGGGCCCACCTGCCTCCATCGGAAATAATATCCCTCCCGGCCCATCTGTCAACGTCAAGGATATACATCACATTGGCCCATCATCCGCTGGCCCGTTTTATATGGGATATTATGTAGGTCGGGTGACCCATATAATGTTAGAATAACTGAGAGTTCAAAGTCAATGCACGAAGCACCTTCCAGACTGTTGCCACATTCCATAGGATGAAATTTCATGCAATCAATGCCAGTGGATATCGTGACCCAACAGCTACAATGGATTCGGTGCATTGTCAACCACCACAAAAAGACAACAAAGGGCATATCATCCCTGCACATTTTGACACAATGAAGGTGATGGTGGGGCAACAGGTGTTAATGGTACATGTTTTTTTTGTACTACTCCCTCACTACACTAATATTTGATTGTCAATTTCAGGGTATTGTGTTGCATAAGTCCATGTTGTCTTCACACTGACAAGTCATGCTGCGGCTGCCTTATTTCGCACACCTGCCAAGGCACCTACCCACTTTGCTTATGTGGAGTGGTTCATGCCATTCGGGCAACCTGAAGCAAACCATGGTTTGTACAAG